AAAAAAATTTAAGATTAGATTGTAGATGTCCTCATCAAGACACATTTTAATTATTTAGAACAAATATTAAAAAAGATGAAATTAAAAGTATTAATCTTTTTTTTGGATAAATGTTAGAGAGAGGATACAGACTTAATAATCACATATTAGCTGCAAAAGCAAGTTAATCCTGTAATAGCTTTGTTCACAAAGTAACTAATAGTAAAAAGGAGAGGAGAAACAAAACTTTAGAAAATAAGCAACTCAGCAAGGAACAATTATCTATGTTTGATAAGGATAAGGAAGAAAATAAAGCATCTTGGCTACATATATTTTTTTTATAAAACTAACCAGTAAATTTTGACTCTTTCAGAGTCCAACTTCAAATTCTATTTCTACAGTCTTATGGTGCAGGCTATTCATTAAGTATTGATATGTCATCACAGTCTTAAGCTTATTAGGTATACAAAAGAGTAAAAAAAACTCAAGTTGATTTTTTTTTCTAAAGCACCTATCCTTCCCCCTAGGATTTTTAAATAGCCCCTTTTTTACAAATTTTTATCTTAACTTTTTTTTTCCCTTTGTATTTTTAATTATTCCTATACCCTCATACTTTTTCCCTTTTTCTTTGTTTTTTTTTAAGTATCCCCCTTTAAATTTTCCCTTTCTCCTTTGTTTTTTTACTTTCCCTTTACTTTTTCACTTTTCTCCTTTTTAATTCAAATATTTTTTTACATGAAACGAAATTGAAATTCCATATATATCAAATAGAAGATTAAAATAAATGATACAATAATAGGATCACTTATTATAATTTATGGGTTTTTGGATTATAATTAAACTCCTTTTTTATCTAACTAATTACCGTGCCTATATTTTTAAAATAATAAGATACATTGAAATGAATTTTAAATATATTTTCAGTACTGCTTGAAAACGATTAGATGGGGGATTATTATTGATTGATATTAATTAAACATTAATAGATTATAAGAAAATTTAAATTAAAAAATCATGCATTCTTTAAAGAAATTAACAGCAGCAACTCTGAAATTAATTTAGAAAATATTAAAACAAACAGCATTGAAATAAAGATTCTACAGATTAACAACCTTATCAGATGCAAAATATTTTATTTAATTTGAAAAAATATCCTTTTTGCCCAAAGTTGTTGTTTGAAGGAAAATATACTTAATAATTAGATCATTTATAAAAATATCACAAAATTTTTATATAATCACACAAAAATATCCTGTTTAAATTTAATAATCCCTCTTAGACAGATTCTATTTTGAATTAATTTATTCTATTTATCAAAAAGCTGTAATTTCTAAAGATCCAAAGTGAACAAATTTTTAATAAAGCCATAGCTTCAATAGAAACTAATAAAATCTAATTTTTTCGTTTATTGTATTAAATTCACATCGTGCAAACCACAAATTCAGAAGTTTTTAAGAGCCTAAACATAAATTAATTAACATAAGCTGATTCATATATGGACTTTTTTAATTTAGCTTAAATTTTTATATTAAGTTATTAAAAGCTATATAGTACTAATAAAGTAGGAATTAAAAATTATGGATCTCTTATTACTATAATTGTTAGGAAGATTAATACTTTAAAAAGAAGAATAATGAAATTGAACAAAAAAATCTATGTGCTGATATTTCCTTAATTGATTTAATGAATATTTATTTAAAAACAGAAGTTTTTAATAGATATATTTAAGTAGCCTTACTATTTTAATTATTCTATTGATTATTTTGGATGTTTATAGAATCATAATAATACTAAATTTAGTTATAAGGCTACGAAATATTAAATTAGTATTACTTTTATTTAAATTATTCATTATTTGATCCTATTTAAATAGAGGAGATAGTTATCACAATTATTAATAAATTTTAAGATTATTGTGAATGGAATAATTTTCAAAAATTTTTCGTTATGTTCTTTAAGTAATCTTGTCTAAGATATTTTTCTAAATTTAGCCATTTTTAGTTGATATAAAAGATAATTTCGACTCACTAAATTCAAATCTGAAAAAGCTAGAAATTCTTACAAGAAATTAGGTGATTTCTAATTTTTAATTCTATAAGCTAAATTTTCGTTTGATAACTCTTTTCTTTATTTATTTTTATGCTTTTATTTAAAAATTTAATTACATTTTTAAATCATTCTAGATCGAATAAAAATATATTAAACAATTATATATATTTCTGTTTATATTANAACGATTAGATGGGGGATTATTATTGATTGATATTAATTAAACATTAATAGATTATAAGAAAATTTAAATTAAAAAATCATGCATTCTTTAAAGAAATTAACAGCAGCAACTCTGAAATTAATTTAGAAAATATTAAAACAAACAGCATTGAAATAAAGATTCTACAGATTAACAACCTTATCAGATGCAAAATATTTTATTTAATTTGAAAAAATATCCTTTTTGCCCAAAGTTGTTGTTTGAAGGAAAATATACTTAATAATTAGATCATTTATAAAAATATCACAAAATTTTTATATAATCACACAAAAATATCCTGTTTAAATTTAATAATCCCTCTTAGACAGATTCTATTTTGAATTAATTTATTCTATTTATCAAAAAGCTGTAATTTCTAAAGATCCAAAGTGAACAAATTTTTAATAAAGCCATAGCTTCAATAGAAACTAATAAAATCTAATTTTTTCGTTTATTGTATTAAATTCACATCGTGCAAACCACAAATTCAGAAGTTTTTAAGAGCCTAAACATAAATTAATTAACATAAGCTGATTCATATATGGACTTTTTTAATTTAGCTTAAATTTTTATATTAAGTTATTAAAAGCTATATAGTACTAATAAAGTAGGAATTAAAAATTATGGATCTCTTATTACTATAATTGTTAGGAAGATTAATACTTTAAAAAGAAGAATAATGAAATTGAACAAAAAAATCTATGTGCTGATATTTCCTTAATTGATTTAATGAATATTTATTTAAAAACAGAAGTTTTTAATAGATATATTTAAGTAGCCTTACTATTTTAATTATTCTATTGATTATTTTGGATGTTTATAGAATCATAATAATACTAAATTTAGTTATAAGGCTACGAAATATTAAATTAGTATTACTTTTATTTAAATTATTCATTATTTGATCCTATTTAAATAGAGGAGATAGTTATCACAATTATTAATAAATTTTAAGATTATTGTGAATGGAATAATTTTCAAAAATTTTTCGTTATGTTCTTTAAGTAATCTTGTCTAAGATATTTTTCTAAATTTAGCCATTTTTAGTTGATATAAAAGATAATTTCGACTCACTAAATTCAAATCTGAAAAAGCTAGAAATTCTTACAAGAAATTAGGTGATTTCTAATTTTTAATTCTATAAGCTAAATTTTCGTTTGATAACTCTTTTCTTTATTTATTTTTATGCTTTTATTTAAAAATTTAATTACATTTTTAAATCATTCTAGATCGAATAAAAATATATTAAACAATTATATATATTTCTGTTTATATTATACACAATTAAAATTTTAAAAATTAATAAAAATTTGAATAATTTTGTATAATGCAATAATTATTATCTATCATTTATAATTTATTTCAATATTTTGTAAATTCTAAACTTAATTTACATCTTGATATTGGTTCAAATTGATATAATTTTACTATTACATGGCCATTTATTTGAACTATTCTTATTATTGAAAACATTCAGCTCCTTCTAGAAATTACCATTAAAAACTTTAAATATTAAATTATTCTGGTTCTTTTAATCCTATTATTTCATCATAAACAATTAAATTTTAAATATATTTTCCTAATTCGTAAAGATACTACTAATTTTAAGAATCAGTCTTCTTTAACATCTTTTAAACATAAACATATTTGTGAAATAATTGAAAGAGATATTGATCAAAATCTTAAGTCTCTTAACAATACGGTATCCAAGATTAAAATATCTTAATCATTTATTTTGTATTTTGAGTAAAGAATGCCAAATCAGCAATATATCTTAAGCACTAAAGGATTATTGAATTATCCTATTCCAATTCTTAAAATTTAAATAAATCATTGTAAATTAGTTCTAAACATTGAATTTACTTATTTTAAAAAAAAATTGTAAAAATTGAGTGAAGTTTTTAAAGTAAAATAGATCTCGATTTTTTTGAATTGATTTCAGATATAATTGGCCAGAATTTAGTTATTCGTTCTTGAGATTCTTCGAATTTATTTTATTTTGTTAAAATTCCGATTATTGTCAATTCTATCTAAATATAAAAATATTTATCATCAAGATCAACAAGCTTAAGAGCAATAAAAGAAAGTTCAAGAGATTTTTAAAATTCTTTAATAGAAAAACAGTATTAAGAATAATGAAAATAAAGTTCCCATAAATAATGTGAATTTGGAAAATTATGTTAATAATAAATTATTGCTACTTCAAATAAGTTTATTATTTTCTGCTTATCATCACTCAAATCAATTCGTTTGATCAATTACTAAATAAAATATTTAATACCATAACTGTCAGCTCCTCTAAATTCTAATTATTTAATCATATCTTAAAGACTATTAAAATAATCTAATCCTTTCCAACTACAAAGTTCAACCCATCTTGGTAGATTTGATGAGGATAAAGAAAATTTTAAGTTTTCATCATTAACCATTTCTTTTGTTTTTTAATTTTTTGGTGTATAATAATGTTTAACTATTGAGCTTAAGTAAATCCATGAGAAATTACCATGAATAAGAAAAAACCAGTTCTCTTTGTAATCTGCATAAATTAAGTTGTCATTAACCCAAATTTCAAATTAATCTGCTACTTCCAACCATTATTTACCCCTAATAGCTTTTATAATTTAAAGTTAGATGAATGTAATATCATCCATGTTTTATTCATCATCTTCTAATTTAGAAATTAACTAATCAACTTCATGATAATCTTCTTAAAACAAAAGTATTGATATTTCATAGATTTTTAGCTTAAATTAGTTTTCAACAGAAAATTATAAATATTATCGACATAATTATAATGATTTATTTATATTACCTAACCTAACCCAATATTAAGAAATTATTTGATATTATTCAAAGGTTATTGATGATGTAAGTTGAGGTAATCCAGTACTTTCTATTTTACGAAAATAAGGCTACAATATTTCAATATAAATCTTCAAGTTTTTATTATTTTTTGCTTCTATTTTTATGAATTCTTAATATTCTGCTGATGCAGTTCTTCTATGAAAATAAAATAAATTAAAGAGAAAAGGAATAATATTTTCACTTTTCTTTTTAATTTATAATAATGTATTTCTAATAGAGTTATATTTTTCTTCATAAAATTTCTTTTATAAAGTTATTTTATGAATACCTTATTCTAAAAAAAAATTAATTTGAGATATATTCTTTGAAAGAATCTGAAATTCGATAGGAAGTTTTTAAATAGAACTTTAATCATCCAAAATGTTTTATAATTAATATATAGAATGATCTTATAAGTATATTTTTAACATAGTTAAAAGGAAAGCATAAATGTCATTTTCGAAAAGATTCATATATGATTGGCTTGATTTGTAACCTTTTAATAATCCTCTAAGCATTTTAGGTAAAAATTATGTAGTTCCTTCGATTTTAAAAACTCCTTTTTAATTGGCATATTTAAGTGCACAACCAAAATCTCCTATGACCCACCCTTTGTTATGCATATAAAGAATATTTGAAGGTTTAATATCTCTATGTGCTATCTTTAAAGAATGCATGATTAATATAGATTTCAAAATTTAATGATAAATACTGCGAAATTCTTCATAATCTATTTTAACTGAAAGCGAATATTCTTCTAAAGTTGTTAATGCAATTTCTAAACCAGCATACGAACAAAAACTACTAATATTTTCTTATAAAATAGTGACTTTGTCGATCAATTCAACAAAATTTTAAGGAAATAATTTGTTTAAGTTCTGTTAAATTTTATATTCATTTAATTGTTGTAAAAACTCTCCTAAATCATCTATTTTTTAAATTTTTACAACACAAGCCATTCCAATTATGTGTTCAGCAAAAAAGACTTATCCAAAACCACCATAACCAACTAAACCGTCTTAATTTTACTTTATATTCTAAGCTGATTGTTTAATCATACTGAACATATGATAGGGAGCACGTTCGATTATCTAAAATGTATCAAAATTATTATGCACAAATTACAATGTTTTTCTTTAATTCAAATTATCTAAAATAGACTTCTTTTGATTATATATCTAAGCATATCCAAGAGTTGATTTTTCTGATTCGTAACGATAAGATCTTTGTTAATGAGAACTCATTTCTGTAAAAATATTAATATTTAATTTAAAAAATAAACACATAATGTATTTTAAGCAAGATTACTATTTTTTAATAATTTAGAGCTTGTTAAACTAATACTCACGAGTGATTTCATTATATAACTTGTATTAAATTTGATGTTAATCTATTTGATTTTCAAAAAAAAATTGATCTTTTGTGAAGGCATAAAAGGTATTTCATTTTACAATTTTACGATTCCTCAAATATTTTGAAAAATTAATCATTATTAAAACTTCTTATAAAAATTTTTATTGTTTATAAATTATATTTATATTATTTTCTTTCGTGATAATTGAAAAAAACTATATTATTAATCAGTATAACCAGAATAATAGATTAATTTTCTATTTAATTTTCTAAATTATTATTCAATTATCCTAATGATTAAATCCAATTTTTAGATAAATCACAATATCTTCACAGTAATTTTAGATGATTTTCAATAAGCTAATATTTTCAATATCTTTTCATTAAATTTTTTCTTTAGATTTTGATATTAATCTTTTTTTAGTAAGGAAATATATTTTTGAATGTTAATTTTATACAATAATAAAATATAAAAAAGGATAAAAATTATGGTTTGTTTATTATAAAAAATGCTAAAAAAAACATTTTTCAAGATGAGAATTTGATTAAAGAATCAATGATAAAATCTTAATTAGTAGATTTTGTCTAATTTAATAATATAAATTCTTGTTTTAGATTATTGAATAAGAAAGGAAATAAATAAATATTTGTATGAAGTAAATAACTTGCAAGTTCCACTAATTATAAATACAAAGAGAAAATGAATTTAAACATATTTTTTTTTTTTAAATCTAAGAGCATAATAAGAAGAATATTAGTAAAAAGTAAAAAAATAAAAGCTTTCAAACAGATTCAGATTATACTATATTTCAAAAGTGTAATAGAAAGAATTTTTATAGAATCTAAGAATAATTTATTTAAAGGCCAAAAATTTCAAGATTTTCAGTTCTATATTATATTTCCTAACATAATCTATGAAATCTATATTTTTAATGATTATTCATTGCTTTATTCATTTATTAAAACCTGATTAAAATCTTCACTTTTAACTTTATTTGAATCTTTCAATACTAAACCATAAATCTCCTTTTTCGGAGTAGTCATTATATTTTTCCCTTAATTTTATAATTCTTAAAAAAATAAGGTGAAGCACCAAAATGATTCAGATAAAAATGTGTTATTAGTATTAAATCTAAATTATCTATTTTATCAATTTTACTAAAATATGGTAATCTCCTTTATTTACCTTAATCATTTGAATATAGTAATCAAACTATATTATTAATAACTTATACCATTATTTATTTTTTACAGTATTATAATTAATACATGAACGTCAAGCTTTATTAACTGCTCCCAAAAGGGTGATTATTAATTTAGAGTTATCTTGATTCATTAAATTTAATATCCCTATCACATTAAAATGAATTTTAAATACCTTAAGAAATTTTTAATTTAGGTTTTAAAGCAAAGCATTTGTATTACAATTTTTCCTAAGCTTTTAATTATAAATTAATTTTTATTTTTAAGTTTTAATTTAACTCTAATTATTGGATTCTGTTATAAAAACAATATATTAACTTTTAAAATTAAAAAAAATTTAATCTAAAAAGCGATCATATTTCCTAGTTTTTTTTTAATTAAAAATATACTCTGATATGTTTTTAGGATAAAATATTCAATAAGTTTAGTAATTTGCAATTTATTTATATTATTACGAATTGAGATGTACCATACTTTTTATTTATAAATACTTTTTTATTAATCTATGATGGATTCTTATTAAAAATCTTCTAATAATAATGAATCAAAATTTTGTCGGGACAAACATTTAATATTTAATAAAAATTCTTTTTTGAATTGCCAACTATAAATTTAGTTCTTTTTTCTTGCATTAACTTAAAAAAAAACATGATTTACTTGGTAATTCGTATTGGATTTGTTTTAGAATCAAACAAAATAAATTTTAGTTGTTTTTAAATTTGAAACATATTCCTTCAAAGTAATAACTAATACTATCAGTTATAAGCATTAGAAAAATTAATAAAAAACTTCTGTCCTATCTGATATTAAATTATGTAAGGCTTCAAGAATTAAAAATCATTTTGGTATTGAAATTTAAAAATAATAATACTAAAAACATATCAGAGCCAAATGAATTAATCTTTCCAATCTCTCTTTTTTAATCTTACGCAACAGGGTTTTATTTTAAAATCTTCCACTATTGTCTTACTAAGACAAGACTAAATGATAAATAAAGTTGAATTCTATGTTTAAACTTCGTCCTCTTCATTCCATTCATCCACTTATGTATTTGTAGTTACTTTGGCTAAATTTGATAATGGGGTTTAGAAATAAGTCTTTGGATGATTCATGATTTTAATTATATATGATTTGATAATGAATGGATATGTTAAATATTAATTAAATAATATTAGAATTATAAATATTTTTTTTATAACAAGAAAAAAGAAATTAAGAATGTTTGTAATGAAATATGTCATCAAGGAACAAAAAATAATTTAGATAGAGACAAAGCATTAATAAATTTTTAGATCATTTTGTTTTCCAAACCTAAACTCTTATTTTCATATGTTTTTTAAAAAAAGTAAAAATAACAAATAATAATTAAATTAAAAATACACTTTAAAAATTTTTGAAGCCTTTTAACTTCTAATCATTTCTATAAATTAGATAAAATGAATATTTATCCAACTTAAAATTAAGTAAAAAGCTAATTTATTATAAATTAGCAATTTTTCAATTCATCAAATTTGAATAGCAAATTATTAGAATTTCTCTATTTGATCCTATTTTTATAATAACTTAAACTTATTTTGTTTTTTGAATAAATTTCATTAATAAAACCACGGACCATACATTTATTAATTGTTTATATGCAATTTTATTAATGATAATGCATTAAATGCTTGTGAAGTTTCTAAATTATTATATTATTGTATTAGTTTTTACGAAATATATAATTTTACTATTAAAAATAAATCAAATACAGATTATATATAATAATAATTTCATTGTTCGTCCCAAAGACTATTTTATAGCTTTGCTTCTTCAACAGAGCTTGAATATTTACGACAATCTATTTGATTTAATTAGTTTTAATGTACAGAATGATGTATCTATCTTTATGATTTGATTTTATCTTCCATTTTTTTAGTTGCTTTTAATTATCTTCTAAGTTACATCATTTCCTCCATACTTTTGGTAATTTTAAATCTGCCTACTATATCATCACTCATTTAATGTTAGATTTAATTCATTAGTTCATCTAATTCTTATTGTATATTTGCAATTATTTGATCCTTGATTTTAATTTATTTTTCAAGTTAACTGATTTTTTTTTTAAACTAAATCTTGTCAAAATGAATCAAACCATCATCATTAATATTATCATCCTCAGTTTTTTATTAAATCACAAGCTTTGGATCAACTTATGGACTGGTTGGATTGTCAAGAACTTTAAATTTACTTACTTTTTGTGATATCATGCGAGAATTACATTAATTATCTTCTCCTAAAAAGGTCAGTGCATCATCATATGCACTTTTTATCATAATCTTCCTTTACAAGGCTTCATTCACTAAGATTTAACCTTCATCTCTAAATTAATGTAAATAAATAGATTTAAAGTCTTTTCTAGATAAAACATAGAATTCAGTTGGCTTAGTTGTCATAATTGTATACTTTCTTTTTTCACCATAAAATAAGATATCTATCTCTCCAAAATAAGAGCCAGGTTTAATCATCATGAATTTAAAATTCTATTAATCCGGAATGACAATAGCTAATTTACCACTCTTAACAAAATAAATTTCTTCTGCAAGATCTCCTGTGCAATAAACAAATTCATTTGCTTCTAATTTGATTGGTTTAAGCAAAGGTCCAATAGCTGAAATAAACTATTAAGATTTATCTTAAAAATATCCAATTTCTTATTTGAGATGTTTATTCATAATGTAACTTAATTCAATTTTTAAAATAGGTGTTAATTCTTCTAATAAGATGTGGTATTATTATGAGAAATCTCTTTTGCCGTATTTGAGTTCTCTTTTAACTTTTAAAAACATTTTTTTAGAAATTTTAAATTCTTATTTAATATTTTTAAGTGTGGCTAATCGATTGAGATAGATTTAATTATTTTAATCTTGTCTATCTAAAAAGGATGCTAAAGATCCAACAGCAAAGGAAAAAACATAAACTGAAGATAACATCCAAATGATTGCCAAAATTCTAGTAGACCAAGAGTAGAATTTAATATCTCCATAGCCAACTGTTAAAACAGTTTATACAGCCCAGTACATAGAAATAATATACTAATCAAAAGTGTGAGATTCTAAGTAAATCCAATCATCTTCTTCAGACAAGGTTGCTACAAAAAACCAAACGCATCCTACAACATGACATGAAAATATAAGTAAAAGAAATGCTAGAATGAATCTTTCATTGCCAATGTTGATATTGATTACTTTAACATATTATATTTCTTTTAATCTGAGCATCCTTGCCAATTTAATCATTTTGGCTATTCTATAGATTTTGGGAACTTTGGACATACGTGCTATACTGTTGTATCTCTAAGAGGTATCATTCAAAATCAAGTAAAACGGAATTGATGACTGTATGTTAAGTGACGCATTACCATTAAGTCAATAAAGAACCATCCTTTTATGTAGTTAAGAATGATTGCTTTTCTTTCAGTGATTAAATTGCCTTCATCATCATATGTTGCACATAGGAAAGTAATTAAGATGTCTGTCATAAAAATGAAATCTATTGTATTGTCGAAGTAATCCCAAATCAAATAATCTCCATCTTATACGAAACCAATTTTAAAGGGTGTGAATATTGATACATAACTATATATCGATAAAATCAATATACATAAGAATTAAAAACAAAGCCATATCCCAACATTATTTATACTTATTATTAGGCATAATAATAAGTTGAAATTCATTAATAGGTTTTAATGGTTCTTTATCTTCTGTGAGTCTTGGTAATCTCTTTAACTTTCTTTTGTTTCTTAGTGTATTTTAAGGTGCTCCACTAGCTGAATGAGTATTTTAATGAGTATTTTATTCTGCATTTTCATTGTTTAAATCTTATTATTGAGGATGATCAACTTATTGATCAGAAGCAGATAGCTCTTTAATAGATCCTAGATTGCTTTTTATACTATGTTTTCGATCTAGAACTCTTTCAAAGCAAGAATTTATTGGTTAAGATATTAATTCAGTTACATCATCCTCATCTTTATTAGTTTCAAGAACTTCTAATCTTTCATGAGAATAATTATGACTTGAACTTCTAGATTGATATATAAATGTAATAAATACCTGAAAATCTGCTTTTTGGTAATTTTGTTCTATTAAAAGATGTTGCGAGTGGAGTGGTTAAACTTAGATTTGAATAAAGTCTTTTATTCAATTTAATTATCCATTTATTTAATGATGATAACGACAGCAGGTTAATCAATATAAGAGAAATTAATGGAAGAACGCAAGAGATGTATGTAATTTGAATTGGACTATTAGTGATAACTTCATTTGAATAAAAATTCTTAGGTGAAGAATAAGCAAGATAAGCATAATATGCAGATTAAGCTACTTATAATGGTTAAATGAATGAGAAACAAAATAAATAAGGAGTAGGAAAATACTTATTTCCAAATGGAGATGTGTAATAAAATGAATGATTGTTTTTAGTTACATAGGACAGTGGTCTAACGATCTGTTCAATGGAGAAGGTGTTTATCTTTTTAATAATGGAGAGAGATATGAAGGACATTTGATGAATGGTAAAAAGCATGGAGTAGGGATTTATTATTATGCAAATGGTAATATATATAATGGAGAATGGATTAACGATTTGAAACATGGAAAAGGAAAATATTAATATTACTTATAAGGAGAAGCATATGATGGTGAATGGTAATATGGAGAGAGACATGGAAGAGGAGTTTATATCTATTCATTAGGAGATAGATATGATGGTCTTTGGGAAAGAGGACTTAAATGGGGTAGAGGAATAGTAGAATTTGCATCTGGAGCAAGATATGAGGGTTAATTTGGTAGTGATAAAGCTACAGGATAAGGAACTATGGTTTATGTGAATAATGATAAATATGAAGGATAATGGAATGATGGATTAAAACATGGATATGGAGTTTATACTATGGCTGATGGATCTAGATATGAAGGTAATTGGATGAATGATGAAAGAGAAGGATAAGGACTGTTTCTATATGCATCAGGAGATAAATATGAAGGCATTTATAGTAAAAATGTTAAAAATGGATTTGGTATATACATTGCTTCTAATGGGGATAGATATGAAGGAGAATGGGCTAATGATAAAAGATAAGGAAATGGCACTCTATATATGGCAAATGGAGATAAATATATTGGAGAATGGAAAGATGGGGAAAAGTCTGGAAAAGGAATTTATTATTTTACTCATGGGGATACTTATGATGGTTATTAATTATTGTATTTTTAGGCTATTGGTTAGGTGGAATGAGGCATGGATATGGTAAATATTCTTGGAACAATGGAGATTAGTATGAAGGAGAATGGAGATTTGATAAAATGAACGGCAAAGGTAAATTTAAAGGAGCTGATGGTTCAGAATATATTGGTGAATTTTCAAATGACAATAAAGTTAATTGATTTGTCTTATATATTGCTATTTTCAATATTATTATTATTAAATTATTTAGTTTAATTCATCTATTGTTTAATCTTTTAAATTCATTATTTATTTAACTTCTAACTATTTCTAAATTCTCTCCTATTCAAAATCATGCTCTATCTCTTGAATTGTTAATAAATTCTATTGTATAATTTATGATTGATTATAAATTTATTATCTTTATTCTTCGATTATTTATTATTACTATTCATATTTTTATTTCCAATCATCACACTCTGCACTTAATTAACTTTTCTCACTCATTAAATCATCAATAAAACTTTTATATTTTTAAACTACGCATTTTAAATTATGTTTCTATTCAATCAGACATTATTCTAATTGAGATTTCCTAATGATATTTTTTAACAATCTACATTTCCAATTTCAATTAAAAAACTACTTTCTTAAGTTCATGATTTTCATGTCTATAATAATCAACACTGTCACAATAAGATTTGCAATCATCATTTGTGCTCAAATTGCTCATATTCTAAATTCTTATTTTATAAATGATGTAAGATACTTATTTTCTTTGTCTGTCGTTTAGATTCTCTTTTTGTTAAATTTATTGAGATAGGAATTTTTTTTGTCTGGAGTGTGAGTAGTATTTATATACATTTTTTTAAATTTTAGATGTCTGTTAATATAAAAATTAGTATTTTATATCAATGATAAAACTTTGACATGATTTAATCAGATTTACTTTCATTGAAGTTTGGTCTATATTATGATGCATTTGGCTAGAATGTAGGTCTAAATTTGTCGTCATAGATGGATTGCATTAATTTAGATTCTTTTGGTTAGAATTATTTCTATGAGGTTGAATTAATTAATTTATTAAGAGGTTCATGAGGATTTCTTTTATTCTCCCTAATTTTTTATGTATAAATATCTAATTCTTCTCTTAGATTAACTTCTCTAATTTCAACATACTCATTAAAGGATTAAACAATTCTAGCTAATTTATCTTCTTAAATGATCACATCAAAAGCATTTGAAAGGTAATGTTTGAGAGCATTATCAACATCAAATGTAAGTTGATCAAAATCATGATTTTATTCTTCACTCATAACCATTAAGCAACCTCTGATATATTTTGGCTATAACAACAACTTTTCTTATTAATCTAAATTGCTGATGATAGAATTTAATTTATGATGAAGATCTTTCTTTTCTCCAGGATGGGATTACTAAAAAATAGATTTATATTCAATACTCTATGTTTTTATATACGCTATTTAACTTATTCTTCCAATTAATGGCAGTAATCATGAACTGCTGCAAGAAGAGTTTACTTAACTTTTTAAATTTTATTTTGTATTTATTTAGCAGCATCAGATTATTCACTATCACTAAAATGATGAAGTATATTTCTTTCTCTAAAAATTAAATATATTGATTTATTTTTTACTCTTCAAATCTAAGCTTCTGTTGATGTACATCTGTTAATAATTATTGTCTTACATTATCAACTGTATCTAGATTAGCTTAAGTACCTTATTGATTATGCCAATGAACATGTAATTTACAGCAATCCTTACAAAGAGGCTATTAAATTAATGAATGTGTAATTTATACTTCTTTACACTCAATTGATAAACAAAATAGAACAATATCATTTTAAGGATGTTTGGGACACTTTTCAAATTAAACTGGAGGGGCTTGTTACATTTACATTAATAAAATTTATTGTTAATATGTTTTGAATGTATATTTAATTAATATTAATCAATCTATGGATTAAATATAATGATAGTATGTACATTTAATTTCTCATTTTGCATTATAAAGGTGGGAAATATATGGAATTACTGCAAAATTTTTTTAGGAATTGTTATTTGGTTATTTAGCTTCTTTAATTTATAATACTGGCAATCTCTTTGGCCTAATATTAAGTAAATTCAGTACTGAGTTGTTCGAAATGTTTTCTCTTCTCCGCTACTTTGTGTTAGCTATTAAATGAGATTTTCATATATCTACTTTGTAACTACTTTTGGACTTATTATTGATTAATTTATTGATTAGGGTTACTATCCAAAACTTTCTAATTTGTTTTTCAATTCAACACTTAATTCCATTAATTTTGAAGCTTAAGTCTCTATGTTATTAATCTATTTATTATGTAAATCTTTATTTATTCTATTAAGTCTCTTATTCTCTTTAAACAATACTTATAACTTCTATTCATACTGTATTTTTATATCTTCTATCTCTTATTTAAAAGTCTGTTCTTTTTCTATTGATATTGATGATTAACTAATATGTTATAATTATTCTTATAGGTTTTGATTGTCTCTTCTCAGCTATATTAATTCAAATTATAGTATTTCTAACCTCTCTTCTAATTATTAAGCATAAGTTATTTGAACTGCTGCTTTCTCCAATTATCGTTGGAGACCAAATACAACTAATGATAATCTCTAATTTTCATCTGTTAATTTTGAGTTCAAATCAACCAGATTATCTTTTACTAAATGATTCATAATAATTAATATTCATGTCAATCATTTTAAATTAATTTTATACATATACATACTCTTTACAATATAATAGAGTATAATCATCCTAAAAGTTTTATTATGATTAATGAAGGAAATTAATTAACAGACCCACATTCTAACTGGTAGCTTATAGAAAACCATAACAATAATTAATTTTCTTAAATAAAATTTTTAATACATTTATTTTGTTATTAATTATTTTATTTATTCAGTAATATATCAATAAGGTATAAAAATGGTTTAGGAAGAATAAGATATTACAAATACTATTAATTTATGAATGTATATGATTTTAAATTACAATTCAAAGTTATGCCTTTTTAAGAATGTATACCATATATATTTATTATCTATCTTTCAATTATTACAATAAGTTTTCATTTGGTTTCAGTCTATTACTCAAGAATTTTGCAACTATAATATAATTTAAAATTTATACTTAAATTTCCATTTTATCTAACACTTTATTTAATTTTTCTAATCTGCAATTTCATTGCTTATGTAATCCCAACAGTAAAATCATTCTTCTCTGCAATTACTAATCCATTTGCTGAGATTTCATCTTAAAGTTTCTAAATTTCCTCTTAAGTTTCATAATCTCCAATAATAAAATATCCATCATCCTTAAGAAGTGTACTTGCTATTTTAATATAACTAAAATCATAAATTTAAATTACCTTTTGAAATCTATATTACTAAATGCTTCTTTTTTCTTTAATTCTAGACCTATAATAATATCAAATGTATTAGGAGGGCAAAGAGTCCCTATTTCAAGAGGATCTCGTACTTCAAACTTCAAATTATTTTATTCATTATATATTTTTCCATTTTTTTCAATTTATTATTAAGAAGAATCAACACCTAAACATCTTTAAGGTTGATATGCTGAGGCAATATATTATAAACCTACAGCATCTCCACACTCTAATTCTAAAATCTATTTATCTTTGAAATTTTTAATCTTCCAAAATTGCGTTATTGCATATTAATGCAATTAAATTCTGTATCTATCTATCTCTTATGCTGGACTCAAATCTTATATAGTTTTTCCTGATTCATTCAAAATTGCATATCCAATTATTTGAATCTTATCTCTAAAAATTATAAATCTTTAAATTACTATGGAACTTTTAAAAATTTTTCTTAAATATTGTTCAAAGCTAAGTCTATGCCTAATTTAGATTTCAAATATGTGTATAATTGTTACACTGTTTACAATTTTGGTGAAATATAATTACTGTAAATTGAAACTACAAATTTCTATTACAATTTATTAAATAATTTTACCACAAATATATTGTTTTAAACTTTGAGTAAGGATTCATTCAAAACAACGTAAACTATGTTCTTTAAATCACAAATCTAAAATTTTATTATTTAATATATACAATAGCCCAAATAGATTTGAGTTATCCCAAGGATGAATTAATACATTCAAAACTGAGTAAATATGTTTTTGTTTTATTGAAACAATCAAATGCTTATTCTTTTAATTTTTCAAAAGGAATTAGTAGAAATGCAATAATTTCATTAATCTATTATGAAAATGATATTTACTTTTGTTTTGATAGCATTATAAGTTGGAACAACATAGTCTTTTAAACCATTTTGGACTATTAAATTAGCATCTTAATAAAGTTCACTAAGATGTTTTTTAATCTAAGGTTAAAATGTTAAATTACTTAAACTTTATAATAGTGATAGACAATTAGTGTCACAGGTATAGTGATTGGTAAAAAGAGCAAATAAAATAAAGATAGCAATGGTGAGAAAATTAAAGCAATAAAAACAACTAAGAGGTGGTTTTTAGAGTTTTTTTTAATTTGATTCGTACTAGTTTCCATTAATAATTAAATTATTTTATCAAATTTAGAATATAATTTAAAATTTAATGTCGTAATTATATTATTTATTACATATTATTTATATAAATATAATTAAATGCTTAAATTTATGTAATACTTTAAATGGTTTGTTGAAGTGATTAAATAATTCGATTCATATTATTTAATAATAAAATCAGTATTTAAATTTATATATTTAAGAAGTTATGACATAGTTAGGATTAGATTAAATTAAATAATTTAAAATTATAATTCATTATTTAACAACATCTACTGTTTAAGAATCACTCTCAAATGTATATTATAGTGCTTAAGATGCATTATTTCCTTAAAATATTCTTTTTGCATATCCCATAGTAGTATTAGATAAATAATTGTCTTGTTATTATTTTCTATCAGCTTTTTGAATAATTTAGGATTAGGATTATGATTTTTTTAAATCTCTACCAGTTGTTTAACAACTTCGATTTGGTTAGGGACTTGATTTTTCATTTTTTAATCTTTTAGATCTACTAGTTAGATAAATTTTAACATTCTAAAAATAAATTTAAAGTTCTTCTATTTCTTTTTTAGTTGGTTAATACCATTTAGGTTCATTAACATTACAATTTTAAAAGAATACACATAATTATGCAAATCTTTTGACTTAAGGTGTAAGTTTAATGTATTCATTAAATAATTCATAAACTTGGATTGATTATTATTAGTCCATTTGTTGATAACAATCCAAGAATTATCGTACAAACCTATGAACTAGAATATTTTATAAAATTACCTTTCTAACATCAAATAGAATGCAATAACATCATTCCATAATAATAAATAAATTTCCATAACTATGATTCTACTGTGAGTAGAAAAAATCTATGCATAAAACTTATTTCAAAAATATTTTTTTACTTCATGTTATCCTAAAATAAGATTGAGAGCATTAATCATTTTATAAAATTGCATTATATTTGATTCGATATCTTTAACTAAAGTAAATAATTTATATAGATTTACATAAAACATTAACATTGCTTTTTAATTTACTCCTTTATATAATTTCACTAATCAAAGCTAATTTTTGTATTATCATAGTTTAAACAGAAGAAAACTTAGTAAAAGGATCTTTATTTTCATTATGTTACCATCCCATCCATCCAAGAAATTATTAAACAAATAATCTTCCATGTTTGATATCACCCATTAAGACATGAATTGTTAATAGTACTTTCAATTTTTTATGAGTTTCTAATTATTATGGTATTAGTCTTAAGAATTCTTTAAAGATTTGAACAATTGTCATGCTTTAGACTAATTGATCCTCTTCTTCTTTGGATGGATAACCTTATTTGAATCAATGATACTAACCTTAGAGCATTTTCTTAATATCTTCTAAATCAACTGTTTCAGAATTATCAAAGATAGTACTATCAAATAGATGCTTTTCAAAACGACTCTGTCTCTTAAACATATTCTTCAGAAACATTATATATTTTTAATATTATGAAATTATTATATAATTAGGTTCAATATATTCAAAATTTATAGATGTATATTCATATTTGAAATTGTATATATTTTAAATTATTCATTCTTCAATTTATTATTGTAATAATGATGTTTTTAGTTACTCTGCAAGATCTTCAATTTTTTGTTATAATAATTCAATCTATTTAGTACGATCATCTTCATCTTCAGATCTGATTGGAAACCAACTGACACTTTCAGATTAAACTTTGTCCATAATCCAATACTCTAATCCAGTATATTCTGTAGAATCCTTATTTTACAGACAATAGATGTAAAATACATAATTCCATAAGAAATGTTTCCTCTTTATATGTTCTTCAAAATCTTCTTGTTATTTTTCTAGTGTTTGTCTATCAATACCACAAATAAAGCATTTATTCTTTTTATCGTCTTCTATTTGATTTCTTTAATCTCTCAATTATGCGAATGTATCTGTCATTATACCTGATATGATATTTGTAAATAGTAAAGCAAAGAACACAAAATACACTGTGTCATAAATGAATTTCAAAGGATCCCATTATGACATAGAACTTCCAATTACTCCAGAAGTCATCAATGTAATCATACAACTTATTAAACTATGACATGGATCTTCAACTTATTCGGGATATATGTCATCAACATAATTATTGAATCCAACTATACTAAATACAAATTAAAATAACACTCCTAACAAAGCAACTAAAGATAACTATTTTGCATTATGAGATATTGCTTAAAATACACTTTATAACAATGATAATTATCCAAATAAATAAAATAAATGCAATGAAAAATAATATGTATTTGAAATTAATCCTAAAAATGCAATTGCAGTAAATGATATATGAGATAGGAAATCTTCTCCTTTAAAAACTCTTATGAAATTAGATATCTTTTAAATAATATAAGAATGGATTTAAGTTAAAGAGAATTATTCTTATTTAAGTTTTTTAAATTCTAATGAAGCTCTACTTATTATGTAAAATGTGCAGGCACATAAACTAAAACTGAATTATAATAATGAAAGTATAAATAATGTAGCTTCTTCATAATCATCTGTTACTAATGTAGATTATTTATCTTTAATCATTACTGCATATGCAAAAATCATAAATATATTAATGATTAATGATAACAATTATGAAATATTTATTAACAATTAAATAGTTTTATGAGTTATTGGTATTATCCAATTTTATAAACTAAAATTATAACTGATTTCTCTGAAAATCATTTCCATTTCCTCTAGTAATGATATCAATTTCTTTCTTTATGTATCTCTAGGTATTTTAAACATTATTTTATCTCTAGTTTCATCACTTAAAAATTAAAATACTGGATGAGCAGGAAAAAATACCATTTAATATTCATTTTCATAAAATATTTCTATTTTCCTTAAATTATTCAAACACATAGTTTAAATATCTTTTAAAGTTGAATTACTTTCAAACTCTTATTTAAAATGCTTAACCCATTTTTAATCTTTACTTACATATTCTATTTTTTCTTTAATAATGAATACATTTAACATCTATTAAATTTCATCTGAGAATCTGGCTTCTTTTTTAAAATCAAAAATCTTCTCAATTCCTACCTTTTATACTATTAATTTTATAAAATTAACTAAGAATCTAGAATCTAATTTTTATTACAACTCCTCGTAATTCTTTTGATTATTTCCTTCTAATACTAACATAATAGATTGAATAATTTTAGCTTATAATTCAAATAATTCATCTTGTTATTCAGAAGTATGAAGTTCTCTTTGGATTAATTAACTCTCATCTTTTGAAAATGTTTCAAATGTAAAACAAACATCTTCCATATATGTTGATTTACATAATGCTACTTAATTTTAAAAACAAGGTAATTAAATTACTTCATTTATAAAATCTACAATTTGTTAAGTTATTGATACTACATTTTTATTAAGTATTTTCAATAATATTCTTAATTCTTTAGTTGCAAACTCAATAAAGTTAATACTATTAATATGTACTGAATCTTCTTTATCTGTTTATTCTCTTAAATAGTTTTTCATTTAAACATTATTATTTTCACACATCAATTATAACATTCTAAATGCTCTCCACATTACTTTAATAGATAATTATCTATTTTTTATTGTATTTTGACTTTCTATTGCAGATGGCAATGTTCTTTTTAAAGTTTCAGTTTTCTCACTAAATTATGTTAAATTATCAACATATACTATTGATAGAAATGGATTTTATTTATCTTTTTAAAATTTATTCTTCTGAATTTTAAAATTAGTATTTACAAATTTACTAAATTTGAGAATTGATTATTATAAATTGTTCATCATTTAATTAGATGAATCTTATTTCAATAATTAAAGTAAAGAATCTTAACATTTAGTATTGCCTCCTAAAAGAAAAGCATTTGAAAATATTAATAATTAATTAAATAATTCCCATCTATCATCAAAATTTTCTTTAAACATTTCATAAATTAAATGTGCTGCACCACATCCAGCTAAAAAACATTATATTTCTTATATTTATTATCTAGAATCACTCCAAAATTCTGGATCCCATTCATCTATTGCTAATTTAGCCTATTCATCTTTACTATTTATATTAGGATTCTTTTCACTTATCATTCTTGTCAATATTTTTAAAAAGTAACTTCTTAAATCATCATTTAATTAATATGTAATATTCATTTATATTAAATTTTTTAAAAACTCTTCTAAAGTTATTGCTGGATATTAAGTTTAATATGCTGTTAATGAAAACTCATCAATTTTAGTAAATTCTTCACATAACTAGTTAAATTCCTATTCAATAAATCCTTAGAACTCTTCATTCTCATTAAAAAGTTTTATTAATTTCATCAATCTAATATTTAATTCTGCATTATTATCAGGTTCTTCTATAGTTGATAGCTTTCTCTTAGATTTTAAATGAAATATTCTTTTTAATGTCTATTACAAATTTGATTGCATCTTTTCATCTTATGATAATTTAGTTTCAGTTACTATTAATAATCTATTAATTATCCCTTCTTATTCATCTTCATTATTATCATTTTATTAATCCTTAATCTCTTATGTTTCTTCTTATTTTAAAGGTGTCAATGGTTCACTTACATTTCCATTAAATAACTTCTCTAATCTTAACAATATACCATTATCAAATGTCTTAAATACTACTTTCATAATATTTATAAGAACTTGACATAAATGAGTTATATGACTTGATTTAAACCACATCTTTTATATTTATACTAAATGACCTGCTATCTTAAATAACAACTAATGAATTTTAAGATTATCAATATCTTTGCTTAATTAAGCCTCTAACTCTACTAAAAAGTTTTCATTTATAAATAATAGATTTATTGAATATAATATCTCCTACATACATGCAAATATGTAAGAGAACATAAATTAAAATCTAACACCATCAACAATTTATACTTGCTTTATATAATTACATCCTTTTAACAATAAAATTTAATCTAATTAATGTCGAATTATCTATAATTAATTTTTAAACTTACTTCTAAATCTTCTTAAATACATAAATGGCATATCAATTCCATCTAACTATTATAATAAAGACGATTTATATAACTTCTTAAAAAATGTTATAATGGCCAACAATTACTTTTATATGAATTTTTCATTAAAAATAATAATGAATGAAAAGGATGCATTACTCTACATTTCTCCTAATTTATTACATTACTATATATATAATATAATTATACTGATCTTCTACTAATAAACTGAATATTTCAAAATGTATAATCATATATTATAATTAAGGTTGCATACGCATTAATTTACTTTCTTCCATTTTTTCATAATTAGCACTGTAATCATCAATTAAATCATTAAAATTTTCAGAATCCCAAGCTTTTGATTTTAATAATGGAGTCTCTGACTTACTTACTGGATCCACTTAAAATTCTGATTGTAATTCATTCAAAACATAAATTAAATTCCTATTTTATTTTTGCTACAGTAATGCTAGAATTTATAATTAATTAAATTTAATTGTCTTATTATGATCATATAAGAAAACTCTTAATGAATCAAAAAGTTTGACTCTATACATACTATCTGGTTTCTCTTTATTCATTTATTGAATTATTGATTTAATAGCTACAGATACTTCATTTTCATTATAGAGTAATTCTTTATTATTATGATAAAGTTCTCTTACAAAATCAATACAACAAGAATTATATTACAAATGAAAATATATTTATTTTAATGGCCATTTTATTTCAATTTTATTAGTTGCATGATTCCAAATAAAAAGTGTCAAAAATTTGTAACAAGAATTTAATAATCCTTATAAATATGGATTGATTTCATCTGCTCCAGATATATAAGTAACTAATGTCTAATGAAGATCTAAAGCTTTAAATAAAGTTTAATTTGTCTTGTCATTCTCTTCACATTCATTAAATGCCAATGAAATTTATTCTAACTAACTTTAAAACCTTTAAGATTTCAATGAGACATTTAATTTATTAAGATCTTCAATAATTTCATCCACTTATATATTTGAAGTACTTTGGTTTTCTTTTGTAATCGTATAAACATTTTTATCACTGAGTTATTCTAAACGCTGTCTTATTTATATGCATTTACTAATCAATTCTTTAACATTTTTTTAGCAATTTTTAGAGAGTAATACAATTTATGAAAAATGCTTTATTAACTCTCTTCTCTAACCAAGCATTCGATTAAATAATTATAAGGCAGTTTCAACCATTTTTGGTTCCTACATCAATGAGATTTCGACAAATACTAACATTACATTTTTATTAAAATATTTAAATAAATTTCTACTACTGAGTAAATCTTATATGACTTAAATCCATTAAGGAATGTTATAAGATTCTTATTCAGTTTTATCCTTCGAACCACTCAAACTTTTAGCAAAATCTTTAAAGACAGAGCTATTATTGTCTAATAATTATTATTATTCTTCAGTTGATTTAATAGAAAATCTATTAACAAAATCCACCATACCACTAATTAAACCTTTTTTAGGAGGTGAATTATTTGCAGATTCATTTGTATATTCACTTTCTCTCTTACTTCTAAAGTAGGCAACCATTTAATTAATTCTAATGTCATTTTCAAGATCAAGAATATTTAAAATAATATTAGAAGCTAACATTTTACATTCCATAATTGGTTTATTTTCTGATGATACTTTAGTCATTCTATGTTTAGCTTTTTTAATAGTCTCTTCCCCTTTTTATTACTCTAAATTTTGGAAATCTTTTTGACATGAACAAATTCTTAGTAAATCTTACAATAATTGCATTGTATCAATTTCCAAATTCATTGTAAGTAATGTTTTGATAATCATTAAAACTCTTTGCAATGTCTAATTATATTTTTGATCATAAGTAAAATGAGTAAATTTAGCAATAAATTATTAGACATACTTAATTATATTATTAAGATCACTAACATATTAAGATGCAATATGATTATTTTATCCTCCAAAACTACTGATTCTTCTCATTGACATTCTCTTTTCTATTTAAATAGATTCATTGTCTTCCCAATCTATAACTTTACTAATTACAAGTGTTTAATAACCAGGTGTATCTACAAATGCAAGATGAATAACTTTTAGATATGATTCAAATGTATTTATAGATTAAGAATGGTTATCTTCTACTAATGCTAATAAAATAGATATTGAAATGTTTTCTTTTACAAAATCTTATGCCAATTTATTTCTGTTATAACATACATCTCCTAAAAGATTAAAATATCCTTAAAAATAATTCCAAGTTTATAATTAATCTTATTCTTAACTTTCCTAATAGATTTAACGAATCCTTCTCCACATTGGTTTTAATTTATTAATTCTACAAAGAACTTCAACTTTATTTTTTGAATTTAATCTAAATTTAAAATTCAATAATTCATTACTTTGAAATACTAATTTTAAAATTAAAATCTAATTCTTCAAAATAGCTCTGCCTTTACAGACACAAATACTACTTAAAATAGATAAATATTTTTCATTAGGATTTTATTTCATTTTTTCAAATACTTTTTAAATATGATCATCAGTAACAAACTTTTAAATAGATTCATAATTATCCTCCAATAATTCTTTTAAACTATCTTAAGCTCTTGCTTCATCATCCATAGCTTATTCTAAGAAATCTTTCAAATACTTTCCCATATCTTATTTAAGTTATTTATTATTTTATGTTAATTCTTTTATTAATTGATATGTTAATTTAAATATTTTCTTCATTTTTTTCTGTAAATTCTTAACATCAGTAGCATATAATTTCTTTTCATAAATAGGCACTAATATTTTCATAGCCATATCAATTATATAGGTTTCTTTAATACATTATTAACGATTAGCTACTTCTAATTACAAAAATTAAATCAATTACTAAATAACTTCTACTACCTATTATAATTATTAAATATGGATCAATTTCCAAATAATATCAACTTACTTATTCAAAATCAAAACGAATTAAAATAACACTTCTTAAGCTGACAAAACAAACATGAGATTATTTTTTATATTTCCTTTTACTTTTTTAATTTAAAATGCATGTTAATGTTCTTTATCTTCAAATGATAACTATTTCTTGATAACAGTACTCTCAACTTCCTCATTCTCTTTAATACTATCATTCCATTAATCTACTATTTCAACATTTTACAATATCTCCTTATCAACAGACAATTATATATAAGAATTTTCAATTATATCTTATTAACCTTATTTTGCAAGTACAATCTCAACAGCTTAATTAGAATCTTAAATATAATCATGCAATTAAGGTTACTGATTCCTAGAAGTAAGTACTTTACCAGAAATATAATTTCTAAGAATGAATTCTTACTAAAAAGTTTTCTTATTCACTTATGATTAAGCTTATTATTATTATTATTATTCAACAACACTTTTCTATCTTGAAGCAACTCTAGAAAAATCTTTCAAGAAATCTAAATTATTTTACAACATTGATCCTCTTGAATTCTCTTTGATTAACTAGGGCATAATTCGTTTATTTTCAGTTTAAGGTTATAATACTTACAATTCCCAAATAGCTGTTAAAGGAATATGCACTCCTGCTTATTATAAAGAAACAATCTACTATTCTCCATTCAAATAGGTTCCATCTTCAGTATATTATAAATATATTAATTCATTATTCCTGATTGATTTCTTTTCAATTCTTTAATCATTTCGCATAAATAACTTCATTTTCCAACTTGTCTTACTGTTGTGTGTAATAATAACCTAATGTCTTTGCACATCATTTAATCGCTTAATATATGCTAAACAATTCTCATCATCTAACCATTATATTGGTTTTTCAATAAAATCTAAACAAAATTATTGCTTTGTATTCACCAATAAAAAAGGTTCATCAAAATATATTTATTATCCGTCTTTCTGATATGTTTAATATGCTTCTATTCTAAATAATGCTTAACTTGATGGCTTACTACTCAAACTTACCTAAAATGCTTCCATGGACTATTCTGAACATTTGTAAGATCCAACTAAAAAATGTTCAGAATCAAAATGTCTCAAAACTATCTCTTAACCAAACAGAACTTCCTCATCAATCTTAGTTTCTACAAATGAATTATATTAATTCAACTCTGTTTTCATTCGTTAATCAAGCAAATCTTGGTTTGCTCTAATTTATTAATCTTAAGTACTTACTTTTTATGAGATTTCATAAATTCATCATGAATCTCAAAACTCCCTTTTGGAAGTACTTAGAACAAAGACTCCCGATAATTACTAATCTTGGCCAAATTTGTATATGTCATATAATAAACATTTGTTTGAGTGTATCTAAGATTATTAATTGATAACTATACCCTTTAGTAACAATCATTCCATAATCTCCTTAAATTCTAACAATTTAGCCATATCTAAGATTATTCATTAAATTTATTTCTTATATAACATCATAATTTACTCACTTGAATAAGTTAAATACTTTTCAATTTAAAAATGATATAAAATATAAATGTTAGAATCATCAAGTATTCATAAATCAATATTAATATTTAGACTAGGCATAATTTATATTAATTATAATTTTAATTCAAAATGGATGAAGATTAAGATGTATTTCTTATTTTAAATACTTTAGAACTTCGTTGAAGATGATGGAAGTGATGATGACAAATTTGAAGAAACTTGGAAGAAATAATATGAAGTTACTATAATCATATAATATTTAGTAATAAATGCTTCCAAAAAAATAAGATAAAAGACCTGAATCTAAACATGGAAGACCTGAAAGTTCAAAATTTAATTAGAAAAAATAAAGTTTAAATGATAATCCAATACCAATCTCTGTTGCTTTATAAAAATTCAACTAGTTAGTTACATATAACAATATTAAAATTGAATAATTTTGGAAGTCAGATTCAGTTAATGCCTCTCCAGAAGAGTTTGTATCATTTCTTGGTTAGGCAGGTTTCCATATTTCCTAATTTAATTAGGTTTTACTTTTACATAAGAAGAAATTAATCAAATATTGAGTGATTTAGAAAATGAATTTGGAAAAATCACAATAGAAAATATATGTAAAAAAGTACAAGCTTGGAATTCTAATGAAAGTATTTAATTAAATTATATTATACAGATACAATGCTTGAATTTATTAAAGAAAAAGCATTACATTTAGCATAAGCAAGCAAAAGAAAATTCTCAGCTTAAAAGAAAAGTAAACCATAATCTGCTTCAGCAACAAGAACTGGTCCTAAAGATTTTAGACCTATTAGTGGAATCTCTTATAAGAGTAAACAATCAGGTTTTACAGAATTTAAAATGTATTCTAATTGAATATCTTTTTAGTGGTGAAGAAAGACCTGTTTAAAATCTTTCTAAATATTATTTATAAAAAGCTAAAGAGAGAGAAAAAGAAATGGATCGTTTACTTTAATTAACTATATCTAAAGGGAAAAATGAATATGAATATGAAATGCTTATTAAAATGGGAGAAGCAAATGAATTATCATAATTACTGGAAAGTAAAATCACTTACCGTGCATATAAATCTGCATAAGGAAATCTCAAAGTTCATATGTATGAATTGGATAGATTCAATAAAGACATGACTCTTGAAGAATTTTAAAGAGAATATAATATGATTAAAAATAAATATAATGAAAGAAGAAATTTAAAAATTTGGGAAGTACTTTCAGAAAATAAAAAAAGTTAAAAAAGTTTATAACATTTTGGAACTTAAAAAGATGAGATTCAATAAGAATCCTAAAACTAACATTAATCAAAAGTAATTAACAAAAAAGAAAGATAATCTGAATTAAAAAAAGTTCTTTTGGAAACTATGATGTTAACAAATGTTTTAAAAGAGTAGTTATCAGTTCTTTAAAAGAAAGGTATAGTGATTTAATAACCTTCAATGTGATTAAATATTAAAATTTATTATAATATATAAATGAGAAATTTTCAAAAGGGTTATTTAGAGCTTAATTAAATATGGCTTAGTAGACAGTAATTATTTTAATAAATTCAGAGAATATGAAGCACATTAAAAAAGAATGGTATAATAACGAAAACTTACACCACCTAGAGATTCAAGAATCTATGAATAAGTTAAGAAAACTTAGTTTTTAAATAATAGAAAAAGGGAGCTTATGAAATGGCAAACTATTTAGGAATAAAATAATTAAATTTTAGCAAGGTTAGTAAAAATTAGTAATCGGTCTCCCACTGTAATTAATAGTATAATTTTGATCTTTAGCCTCCCAGTTAATGTGGAACACCAAGAGGAAGAAGAGAATTGAAAGAACGAAAACTTAGAATTGAAAGTGAGAATTTAAGATTACATAATAAATTGATAGGAATGTATGATATTTTAATAAATGTAAAGTTAATCAGATTTAAAATAAGAGAAATTTTAAGAATCATTTATGAAACATAAAAAAATATAAAAAAATATGTAAAGATTTTATTTTGACCCAAATTTACATAAAATAAAGTTAAGAGTTGATGCATTTTTAGATAATGTGAATACCCAAAGAATGAATGAAAGATCTAAAAGTCAATATTAAAATTCTAAATCATCTAAATTTGATTATTCTCCTTTCAAAAAATTATAAAAAGTAAATTAATAATTTTTAATTTAGGGAGTGATCTTATAAAAGCTTTGATATTCGAAAGATTTATCTTTTTAAACAATAGTGAATAATTTATATTTTATTTAATTTTTAACATTCTTTTAGTTGTTATTCTTAAATGAATATTAATGATTTAATTAAAAACTAAAATAATTGACTTAATAATTTATGAAAAGACTCTAATCATTAAATTATCGCTTTTTATTTAATTTTATCACTTATGACAAAGCTTACAGTATATGGACTCTTTTTAAAAAAATTTTAGATCCTGTATATTTTAAAATTGTTATATCTAATATCATAATAATATAATTACGAGTTGATAATAAATTCAGGATTATAATAGGGATAATAATAAAAGTAATTTTATGCTTTATCTAGTTCTTCATAATCATCTAAACAGAAAAAATGACTCTAAATTTAACAATCTAAATTACAGAATTATTTAAGTCTATGAATATTTAAGGGCTATCTTCAATTTTGATTTTATTTTGTTATGGACTTTTATTTTTCTTTATCATTAATGGAGAAGATCGATCAGATGGATTTAAATCGAAATCATCATAATGAGTTATTTTACCTGAAGATCTTAAATTATCATGTTTTTTATTAATCTCATTTTATTAGACATGAAGCAAAGTTTAACTTTAAGATTTTCTGCTTTATTTTGAGTTTTTCATTTCTTAAGAATTAGGTAATAAACAACTATTATTAATTAATTAAGGTTGACTAATAGAATTAAATATAAACATTTCTTATAGTTTATCTTTATCTGTTGGAATAGTTAGTAAATTATTATTTTACTTCAGTTTATCTTTAGGTTATTGTAATAGAGCAAAACCAATTTCTTATGGTATATCTCCCGAATATGAACTCTAATCTTCTCCATCAAGTTCCTATATAACTTCTTTTATAGGAAAATTATTATTTTAAGAGAATAAAGCTTTATCCTTTCTATAAATCATAGGATCCAATTCTTAAAATTATTCTCTTATATCATCCAATTCACTTATCAATATACTACTATTTTTATCTAGTGATTTTATTCTTTCTCTACTTGGAATAAATGGCATTGGTAATGATTAATTTTATTAGATATTAGTAGACGATTAGTAATTATAATTTTATGTCAAATCTTTTAATATTTCTGATTAATTTGCAAAAAAATTATTTTCTTGATACTCCTCTCCTGCCATTCCTATTTAAAATAGATATTATCTACTATTAGTTGTCCTTTTATGATTTCGTTTATCTATTTATAAAGATTATTAAATTACATTTTCTTCTTAATTAATGATGATTATATTAATATTAACTTATAATTTTCTCTTTGTCTGGTTTATAATGAAGTTTGTCACATTAAAAAATTAAATGTTCTTTTGATTTACAACAAAAACATTTTAATCCTATTAAACCATATTTATTATTTTAAAGAATCTAATCTTTCATAAAAGATGCTATTTCCTATTTTAATTAATAAATTTACCAAATCTTAACGATTATTTCTTATAGCTTCTAAAAAATCATTTCTTCGAATTTTATACGTTTCTACTGGACCTAGACTTACAATTGTACTTGTTCTAGGTAATCCTGTAAAAAAAGATACTTCACCAAATGTTTACATTTCTCCTAAAGATTTTATTCCAAATTATTTTTTATTACCACTCTAATAGCATACTTTTATTTAACCTTTTTTAATTAAATACAAAGAATCATCATCTCTGCAATTTTATTTCAATATTATTTCATTTGGTTAAAAATATTATAATTACATATTTTCTACCAATTTCTCTTAAATATTTTATGAAAATTAAGAAAATACTTAAATTTTCTTAAAATATTTGGCATTCACAGTGTTTTAAACAGCCTTCTAAATCTCATAATCTACATATTTTATAGATTTAGAATCCATCATAAAATTTTATTATTAAAAATCCTTTTTCATCTCAAATTTATAATTACTAAGTGCTCTTTTCATCAAATTTTATTCCACCTTATGATTTTTAAGATAAGCTTTTAAATCTAAATAGTTTTTTTTTAAAAGATACACATGAATGTTCTAATTAAAAAAGAATAAGATATCTAAAATTAAATTAATTCTATTAATTGTGAAAATTAGTTAAACTAGTAATGCTAATAATAATTAAAAATTAGTTTCATTTTCTAATGTACTAGATATTGTCAAATATTCATTAATATATATATGCAGATAACTCAAATAAGTCTTACTCTACATACTTATTGGCTCAAAACTGATTTCATCTTTAAAAGAAATAGAAATTAATGCAAATATATGACAATATGATAGTGCTTTAATAAATTATTGACCCAACATAAGACCGCATTTTAATGATATCAATGTATTTAATTTTATCAATTTCACTATTAAAAGATTCAATATAATTAAAGCAATAATCGAAATTTGTGAATTCGTTTCACAAAATTATAATACAAAGATAAAGGATAGAAATAACAATAAATCTTATAAACCATATCTTCTTATATAATTCAATTAAATCGATGCTATTTATGTTATCTCTTCTCCATTTTTGTAATAACATGTGTTCAAATTTATAATAGAGTTAATTATTAATAAGGTTAATTAAACAAATAATAATGCTTTAATTACGCTATTACTTGGATAGATTAATATTAAAGGAGAAAAAATAATAGTAGTAAGATAAAGGACTTACATGAATAGTTTCTAAAACAATCTAAATTTACATTAACTTGCAATAGGGAACTTTATTGATTATTTTATTTTATTTATAATGTTTTAATTTTTTCCATTTTCTTTATTAAATGGACTTGAATATGTTTGTAGAAGTGTATTAACATAAGGTTGCTTAATATATAAATTATTGCTAATCTTTATTTTTTCAATGAATTTTTAGATAATTTATTCCATTTTAATTTTTTTCTTTCTTTTTTTCAAAGACGGAGATGTAATTTTTCTTCTTTCCTAAATAAATTTGAATGACATACTGCCAAAATAATCATTTATTAAGAATTTTACTATTTACTTCTATTTGAATAAGAATCTAAGTTTTAAGGTTCTTTTATATCAAGTTCAAATCCATTCATATCAAATATAATTGAGTCTTTTGGTTAACATGGATATTGCATAATAAATTCATTTAAAGGCATTTATTGATTTAATTGTGAATTTGCTTTGAAGGTAGAATTGGATTATATTCTTGATGAATATGATCTTTACAAATTTCCATATTCTCTTGAAGATGTTTAATTCATAAATTTATTTAATAATTTAATGCAATTTTGCAAACATCTTTTTATGAATTAATTTAAAGAACGAGAACGTCAGTAAATGGCAAAACAAAATACGTTTTGGAATAAATTATGATAATTTGATTATTATAATTTTTTAGAATTGTAAAATATAAAATTAAGATTGTTCGTTAAGCTTTTCTTGTAGTTTACAAAAATTTAAAGTAAAATTAAATACAGTGAAATAGATATTTAAAATAAAAATTTGAATAATTAATACTCTATTTTTCATTCCTACACTTTTGTTGCCCATATATCAATGATATTTATACTGATTTTACAAATTGGGCAAGACTCCTTTAATTAAGCAATTTCCCCACATGATTTGCAAAGCATATGCATACATTTTTATATGATTACTTCTTTTAATTGTGTTTTGCAATCACTACAACATGCAGTGGTTTTAACTTTTTACATTTATGACTATTCTAAAAGTGAATCATCTTTCTTTAAAATAAGATATCCTTTTATTTATTCTAATTATGCAGGATTATCTAGTAAGGACTATTAAGATTCAATATTAATTTCTAATTCAATAATCTTTTATTTTAATTTATCTATTTCAAGTAAAGATTCCTCATTAATTAATTTTGATTTTTAAATCTTTTAAAAATAACAGTCTCTTTCAATTTTAATAGTACTTTATTCTGACAATAATTTTTCATATTATGATTTATATAATTCTAATTATTTAACTAATTCTCCATGATTTTAATCAACTTAATATTTCTCTTAAGAGTATTTTTAAATCAATTAGGTTTAATTATTTCTTTATTATTATAACTAATTAATTAATTCTTATTATTATCTTTCTTTTTCTTTGAATTAAATTCTTTCATTTTCAAATTTGGTTTTTTCAGCTTATTTATCTTGGATTAAAACAGCCTCATTTTTTTCTTTGATTGATAATTATTATTCAATCATTTTAGATTTAGCCATAACTTCTTCATATATTTTAGAATTATAATCAGTTTCATCCATCATCATTTATAAATGTCTTTTTTAATCTTAAATTTATTTATCCTTTTTGCTTATTTCTTTTTCAAACTAATCAATTCTTTAATCTCTAGTTTTTATATAACCAATTAATTCTTAAAATTTCTCTTTAAATTATGGTTAATGTCTATTTATAATTTATAATGTTTCTTATATGTATTCTTTATGTTTATTATGTCTAAAGGTTATTTAATCAATATTAAATTCTCCTGGAATTCTAGCCATTATTAGAACATTTTTCTATCAATTTCATATATATATATATACCATTTCAAGCTCATTTTATTTATTTTAAAGTTCTTATTATTACTTTGTTAATTCATCCAAAGTATTTCTCAACTCTTTATTAGCCGACTTTAATACATTATTTTCACCACTTTGAGCATCTATTATCTTTTAAGCTTAATCATATCTCTCTTTCAAATTTTAATTGTATCTCTCACATTCATGATATACATTTCTAATTCCAAATTATTAATCATTTTAAAATTTCTTAAATTAACAAATTTCACTTGTCAATTTCTAAATTTCAATTTCATAAAGATTTTTCAATTAATTTATATCAAATTATTTTGAATTTGTTAATTCTTAATACTAAGTTTATAAATTTTACAATTATTGAGTTAATTAAGAATTTGCATCAATTAAATTCATATTTTGAGATTGTAAAATACTAAAAGTTTCAGATTCCACAAATTGATCTTCTCTATATTCATTATTAATTTCTAATTCTTTAATTTTCACTAATTATGATGTTACTTATTATTAGTATTTTTTATTTTATGTTTATAATATCTAATAGGTATTTAAAATTTATTCTAAATCTTTAATCTCAGATTAAGAAAATGTAACATTAATTTAATCATCTTCAATAGCTGTGATTTTTAATTATTTACTCTTTAATGTTTTTAATAATAATTATTAAATTGAATTAATAAAATTATTTTATAATTAATTTTTTCTATCCAATTTTGTTAATTATAATTATCGATCTTCACTATTATCATATGATTATCTAACAAAATCTAATTGATTATTGAATCCAATTTATCTCATTTAAACTCCTCCACAAATACATTCATAATTTTCTTCTTCTTCAATCAATTTTTAATTTATAGATTTTTCATTATAATTCATCAAAATTCTTAATCTTCTACTCAAAATTTCATTTTATTTCTTACCATCTGCAATCAAAGATTATAACTAATAAATTGTTTAAAATCCTATTTAACCATCTAAATCACTTAATTTTTTTTCCTTTATTTTTTATATCTATTTCAAATTTTATTCTATATCTTAATTCTTTTTCATTATATCTTTATTTGTACTTATTAATTTTTTTACATATGCCATATAATCCTACTCTTCTAAATCTAATAATTAATTTGTTCTCTCCTTAATCATATCCATAAATTCACTATATTCTAGAGATATTTCAAAATATATATTTTCTATTATTCTCAAAAATTACTCAAATTTATGACTTATTTATTTTTTGAATTGACCTTCTATATTATTACAAAGTAAATATTGACTATTAAAAATCTAAATATATATTTTTATTATCTTACATCATCCAAATATTAAAAAGCATTCAAGTATTTGTTTTCCAAAAGTCCTTTTTTCTTTACAATACTTTCTATTCTCAAACTTCTTTAAAGAAACCCTCTCCATACAATTTCCAAAAAACTGAAAAATTTTTAATGTCTTATTTCTCTCTCAACTAATTCTGTGATTATTTATTTTTGTTCTTTTATTGTTTTTTTTAAATAGTCCAATCTAGTTGCCAATGAATCATTCTAAATTTTCAAGACATTATCTTCAAATGATTATTTTGAATATTCATTTTCTTATATCTACGGAACCGTAGGTATATGCAATTATTTTGGTTAAAGCATTATTATATAAATATAATTTATAAAATCAATATAAAATTATTTAGCATTATTTTCTATTGAATTTAGAATTTCAACTTAATTTAAATTTAAATCTCATCTATATCTTATAATTCTTAGATTAAACTGGATTGAGGAATAAATTAATTATGTTTATTTGGAAACTAATAAATATTTATAAAAGTCATTCAATTACTACATAAGCAAAGATGTATTTTTAACATAAAAGAACTGGTTTTATTTTCAATATCAAATATTTAAAGTTTTCAGTAATTGATGCAGATATCTGCATTCATGAATGGATTTAATTGTTTACTTATTTCTTTTTTCATCCTTTGGTTTAATTATATGAATTTGATTTATCATTTAATAACTTTAATTCTTAGTTTGTTATTTATGAAATAGCCAAGATAATTAGATAAAGAGCAAGAAAATTTTAAAATTATAAATTGCCTTTGCATACTTTATATGTTAGAATGATTTGTTGATAAATTTAATTTAAGAATATTTATCTGATTTTCCTGAAGAGAAAATTAATCAAATAAATTATAAGGATATATATTAAAATATATAACCAATTTATTAAAGTTTTGGAGATAATCTTCAATAGTTTACAACTAATTTGTATATTAGATAAACTGAAAAATTGGGCATTTTTAAATTAAAAATATTCATTCTATCATTTAAATTTTTGTGATCATTATTTGAAAATTATTAATAGTTTATTAAAATAAATCTAAAAGGATAGAATATAATTAATATTAAGTCTTAGTACTCTTGATAAGATGTCATCTTACTTTAGACCATGTTCATTTAAATTAAGTTAAGAAAATCAAATATAACATAAATTTTAACCCTTACCATATAATGTCATTTTTTCTGATTAAGTTTTTAATTTCTTAAAGAGTTCAGAATGCAAAATTTCTAGAATAAGCATACTTCCGACAAAATTATCAGAATTAGAGGAATTCACTCAATTTGATGTTTTCAATATATAGAAGAGCATTTATTCAAAAACAAAAAGCATTGATTAAATTAATATGGAATATTATTTAGATGATGATTTGATAGAAGAAATGTTTAAATAAGGATATGATGAAGATCAAATTATTTTTCTAATTAGGAGACTTCCACCATCTAAATTAAGAATTAAAAATACTTTAAGTTTGTAAGCCATAAAAGCTATCTATTCAATACTTTATTAAGCATCATAATTTTAAAATTCTATTATTTGTTGCAGTTTTGATATTTTTAAATATTGGAATTGGGTATTTACTAAGAGAAACTTTTTATAATTTTAAAACTTTTGGAAAGTTTTTCAAATAACTATTTTATAAATTTTTTAATTTTTTTGTTTATCCTACAAAAAAATATATCTTAAATGATGAAGTTTTGTAATTGAACAAATTTTTATCTTAAGACTAAATATATTTTATTATATTAACTCTTATAAATTTTGTCTTTTTTTTATTACTCTTATCGGACATATGTTTTTACATATCATATTGAGAATTAAAAATGATCTTAAGAATTATGTGAAAATGGAGCAAGCATAACAGCATCATACATTTATTATTCTTTTGCCTTTATAGCTTTTATAGTAGAATTCATATTGTTCTATAAAATTGTGTTGATTGTTCCATCACATTTAAATAGATTAAATATTAAGTAAGTAAATTTTGTAGATGAGAACTCTGGAGAAAATGATTAACAAGAAAATTAATAAAATAAAATTCTTCCATTATAATAGGAAGAAAATATTTTTATAAAATTCAAGAATGGATAATATTTGTAGAAAAAATCAATTAATAAAATTAAAAATATAATATCAACTTTAAAAAAATGTGTTACTTATATTACAGGAAAAGGTGAAGAATGAACTTCCTCTAAATGGGTTTGGGTTTGAGTATTATAGCAGTGATAATACCAGCTTAACTATTTAAATTTGATCTTTATAATGATGTTATATTCATTTTGAATGCATTCAATTGCGAAGAGAATATCATTTTTATTATAGCTCTAATAACTACTGTTACAACTTAATCATATTTTCTATTTATGTTATTTTCTTAGCTTGCCAAAAAATTAATTCAGTCAGAAATCTAAACTAAAATATTATCAACTAAAATCATAACAGAATATATTAGAGGAGTTTTTAGGTCTGAATGCTGCTATTTCAACATTACTTGATTAAATTGCTTCTTTTAATGTTAGTATATTTCCTAATAATGGAATTACTAAATATTTTTTCCATAATATGCAGGTAAATGCATGAGTAATCTTGTAAGAGCATATTTTTAATTATTTTTATTAGAAGATTTACCTCAAACATTTTTATAACTGTTTTATGTAATTAGTTAAACTCTTAAAAAATCAAAGTCTTTACCAATATAAATCTATATATCCACAGCAGTTGCTAATTTTACAACTATTTCATCTTTTTACAAGTATTAATATTATATTATAAATTAGATTTTCATCTATTCGACCTACAAATTTGTTATAAGAAGATTTTGATCTACTTTAAATTTAAAAAAATTAAACTAGATCAATTATTCTATAAAATGAATTTACGGAAGAATAAAACCAGATTAAAATATATACTGAGTCTTTGAAGAAAAAGTCAAATGATATTTTATAAGTGGATAATTAATTTTATGAAGAAGCTTAAAAGCTATTAAGTTGATAATTGGAATATGATAAATTTTTATATTAAAAATAATTAAAACAAATACTTTTTAATTTAAATTAATAATAAGAATAATAATTGATGAATCCGAAAAAAAAATGATGTAAATTATATAAAAATTACTAATTCACTTTAATGCTACTAGTTTTTTATTAATTTAATCAAGAATTTATTAATCTTCTTTTTCAAGAATATTTTATTCGCTTGTTCCTTTCTATATATAAATTATTATAAATATTTACTTTTAGTTGTTGTTAAGCTTTTTTCTATCTTTAATTTTTTAAATAATCAAATACTTTAGGATTAGGTAGAGATTTAGTTGATTATTTAATTTCATTGTCATTTTTAGAAACTCTTTTCATTGGGGGAATATTTTTAACATTATATGTAGCATTTTGTTTTAGATAAAAATCTCCAACTTCTCTTGGAGATATTTTAATTGGTAATTTCTCTAAAGGTATGAGTTTAGGTTTTTTAATATTTTTTTATATCTTCTCTTTACTAATACCATGAAATTAATGTTTAGATTGAACTACTTTAGAAAGAGATTAATATTTTTTAAAGTCAGATTAATGTTTCATATTATTTTTCATTTAATTTAATTTTTCTTAAAGTTCTTAAGAAATTGTTGGTTAATGATTTTATTTAACTTCTTCTATATATTAAGTAAGTTTGCTTAATCTTTATTATTTTTCTTAATCAATAACATTTTCAATTCTTTTATATTCTTCTTTAGCTTTTTAATAAGAAGATGAATAATATTATGCTTTAAATTTATTCCATTATGCTTCTCGTTCTTCCCATTAAACTTTACGTTTTTTCTATTTCTCGAGATGAATTTAATTAAATTTTTCTTCAAATTATTATATTTCTTTTCCATCAAAATCAGGATTTTTGTTTTAAGCAAGTATTTTTTTCCTTTCTTATTATAATTATATCATATATGTAGCGTCTTATTCTGCATATCTTAAAGCAAGATATTTTTCTTTTTTCTTTTCTTCAAATCTCTTATTAGCTTCTTCAAGTTCTGTTTTCCTTTTAATTTATTGTTCTTCCAATAATTTTAAATACTTTTCTATATCTTCTCTTTTTTTAGAATTTGTTGTTTATTAAAGTTCATTTTTTTTTTATTAAATAATTTTTTCTTCTTACTCTATCTTCTTAAATTATTCATCAATTCTTTTTTATCTCTTAACCTATATATCATTCCATTCCTAAATTTATTTTTAAATAAATTCTTATCTTTGTTTCTCCATATTAGGATCTTATTACCATTTTTCAACAAATTATTTTTATAAATTAATAGAACTAATTTCTATTTCACTATTTACTAAATTAGGATTTGATCCAAATACATGATGTTTTTATTTTCTAATTTGTTTCTTTAAATGTTCTAACTTTTCTTCAAGATAAAGCAATTTTTATAGCAAATCCTGTCTTAAGTTTTAAATATATTATTTTTAATCTATTTAATCTATTCTTAATTATTATGACATTTCATCTAATTAAAGAATTTCAGAACTTATTTATCTTCTTTTTCTTTCTAGCTTATTACAATCAATTTTCATTAATTACTTTTATACCTTATCTATATTTTTTTTTTCAATTTCATTTTCTACATATTCATCATCTTCTTAATTTTAAGACTCCTTTGCAATTGATATGTTTTATAATATTTTTTCAAAAGATTCTTTCACTAATTTAGATGCAATCTTCTTTGAATTACCTGTTATATCTTCATTTTAAAATTATGAAGAGAAGTATTCACTTATTGATGCAAAGTCTTAATGTGGACTTGGAATCATTGATAATGAATCATTCAATTTCTATAAGGCTTATGCTTATTTTTCTATTTTTGATAACTAAAATTCATTTATTTCTTACATTTAATGAGTCTTAGTTTAGAATTAATTATGTAACTGAGTCTTTCACTTCCTTATACTAGATATTAATAAAACCCTATTCTTTGTTATTTTATTTTATTGTCAGCTTTTATGCACCTTCTATTCTTTATACTACTGAATCTCCAATCAATTAATAATCATCATTAGGTTTTTACCAAACCTCAATTCTAATTTCTGTTGTTTTTTTATGTTCTAATACAAATCTGTGATTCCAATTATTCCCTAGAACTGTTTATAACACTGTTGGCCCGCATTTTAACTTTATTTAATAATTTGTCTAATCTGATTCATAATTTATGGCGTCTATTATTATTTTCATTATTAAATATACTAAATATAAAATTTATTAAAATAATTCTAAATAGAATACAAACAATATATTCTAAAGAATATTGAAAATTTTAATAATCAAACTTTTATTGTTTTGAGGGAAATTAATTTAATACTCTTTTTTTTTCCATTTTTCAATATGAAATTAATTTATATTTATATGTAGAAAAATATTTTATTAAGAAATATATCAGTAATGTAATTAATTTTTTTACTTCTATTATTTTTCTATAAAAAATGTTTTTCTTAAAAATCAATCTAATAGATTATTTTTACAATCTATTATGTATTAATCAATAATTTAGTTTTAAACTAATAATAATTTCTTTATTATTAAATTATTAAAAAATTATAAAATGGAATTTTGGAAAGCAATCATACTTCCAATGATTTAATTCTATTTAACAGTTTAATTTATCTTCATAATTTCATGCTTAACTTGGAATAGACAGCCTGAATGTGAGAAAAAAGATATAACTTACCTCATCATTAAGGCAATTTAATATTTTATACATATTGTATTTTATCCAAATCTTGAAAATTATGAGATATATTTAAAATATCATTCATTCCTCTATTTTATAATGGATATTTATGGATTAATATTAATAGATACTTAAACTGTGACTTTTTGGATTATTTTAGCTTAATTAATAATTGGTCTAATAGTTATATCACTCATTATCATTTATAATTCATTATATATGATACTATCCTATATCTTAAATTTATTTACCTGTAAAGAAAATGTAAAACTACATTCTATTTTTCAGAATTATTTAATTGCTTAATTTTTTATTGCAGCATTGAGTTTTAATTTATTTCGATTTTATGACCATTCCTTTTAGGATATTAATTATTTATTTTGTAGATTGACCTAATATTTTATTACCTATTATAAACCTAAAATTGAATTTTCAATTAAATTTTATTATGTTATCGATATGATAATGAATTTTTATGGATTACTTTATTTAAATTCTGGAACTGTATTGTTTTGGATTATTTTTATTTAAATTATATTAGGGAGTTTTCATTATTGTTTAATTCTACTAACTTTGGTTATTTATACAATTTCGAAATATTATTAATGTGTATGTAGCTATGTGTGTTTTCGATTGAATTAATTAAGTTCAAATAATGATGAAAATAGTCTATAAGGTTTATTTTTGAAAAATTTTATCAAACTTTACTTAATTACTTAAATAATATTTGCTATTATAAGTACTATACAGTCCAGTTTCATAGAACCAATTTACATAATTCTTAGAATTATTCAATATTTATTTCACTTATTTTATTATTTAAGAAATTAAGGTTTTACTGTTTATTTTAATTATCACTTTACTTTTTATTTAATTATGGATATATATGGGTTATGTTTACTTTCATTCTGCACAAAAATTTATGAAATAATAATACTTGAAATATTTTTAGGATTTATAATATATTATTGGCTTTTAATTGAATATTTAGATTCGATTAATTTAAATCATTATTTCTCTTATGAAATTATGGATGCTCCTTTTCTAAACTTAATTGTAAGTTACTTACTTCTTGAAATAGGATTGTCAATTTTATATCTCGAATTTCATAAAGATCCAATTACATATTATTTGATAATTAAGATATTCTAATATGGAATAAATTTGTTGTATTGTATTTTTAAAGGTTAGCTTTAATTTGAAAATTTTTTTGTATTGTTCTTGTTTTTCTCATGCTTTTAGTTTCCTTGGGGATGTTTTCTAATGATAAATTAAAATTATGCATTTGGAACTATCTTTTCATAGATAGTTGTTGATTTTATAATCATCGGAGGTATTTTCCATTATATTATTTCTAATTGTAGTAGTAGCAATAAAAATTTTCTGTAACTTTGGATTAATCAATAAGAAAATTTAAATTAGCTATACAAATATGAAATGACAAATTTATTATGGTGTTTTGGTTAAAATGAGATATAGAATTATATTTAAAATCAAGAAAATACTTGTGCTATCTGTTAAGAAACTCTTGATAATGGTTCATAAAAAACATAATTACAATGTCATAAATCTCATGAGTTTCATAATGATTGTTTATAAAGGTGGGAAGAATATAAATCTACTTGTCCAGTTTGTAGAAATAAAATACAAAAATGATTCTGATAATTAGAATTTATTTTTTTTATAATTTAGCCATAATCATAAAAATTAAATTATTTACAATATAAATTTATTATAAATATATTAATTTTAACGAATATGATATTCGAATAAACATTATCTTTAAATGATAAAATAAGAAGAGCTCTTACTTAGAAACATTTAACCACTTAAATATAAAAAATTAAATTAAGGAAGCCAAAACAAGATATTCACTATTCTGTATAATCTTAATTTCGTAGATTAGAAAATGAGAAATGGATAGAAATATTTTATGAAAATAAGAAAATTCATTCAAACTTATCAAAGATTAAATCAGTTTTAAATACCACTAGCGACATATCAGATTTTCAAGCAATAAAAAAAATTAATACTTAAAATAAAACTATAAGTACATTACCAAAATTAAAACCAAGATGTAATTCATCATAAAGAGCATGATAATTAAAATATACTTATATTTATATATCTAAAAATCATTTTAATAATTATTTAATAAACAATAATATTCTTTTTTTAAAACATTCAGGTTCTTTTAGAAAAATTATGATTAATCAGATTCTGAAGATATAATTTATGAATAAAAAAATAATTAAAATGTAATTTTCAAAATTCGTAAATTATTAGATTCTGAAAAATAAACTACAGATCCATTAATAGAAAAAATAAAAGAAGATTTTTAATTTCCAATTTTTTAAGTTTATTTCAATAACCAGTTTACAGTATTTAAAATTTGATGAAGTATTGACTAAGATTTTGAATACTGTAGTTCCTGATATTGAATAATATAAAATATAGGAAAAATAATTAAATTAATAAGAGATTAAAAAATTTAGTTAATAAAAATGAAGAAATTTAAAAATTAATAAGTCATTTTACAATCCAAATTATTTTCATAAATTTAGCTGTTAAGAATCGAATATTGTAATAATATAAATTAATTATTCTATTTATAGATTTATTAAAGCTATTTAGGAGTATCAGTTTATAAAAAATAATTCAAAATCTTTATAATTAACCTCTTTGTTTGATTTTTCCAATCTTTTATACAGTAATTTGATATCGTCTTTAACATTATTGATATCAAAAAAACGTTGAAGCTCAATTAATAATATAAATATACATCTTATCGATTGAAACTGCCTTTTTTATAAAGATCAAGTTTATTAAATAATTAATAAAGATTTTATTCATTTAAAAATTATTTTTTTTTAAGCTTGATGATTTTATCATTTTCATTCCATTGATTAAAAAGCAATTAAATTAATCCAATTGTTGATTTTGAGAATAATTATTAGATTGAATAAGAGAGAAGACTATTTTTTGCTGGTTTCTTACAAATATAAGTTGAACTTATATTAAATGGAGAAATGAATTCAGAAATATCTGAATATCTTATAAATCCATCTAAATCTTTATCTAAATAATTAAACAATTCAATCACATCAATATTTTTGATCTATAATTATTCTAAAAAATAAACAAATTCATGTTGATTAACCTTTCCTTTATTTTTTAAATCAATAAAATGAAAAAAATCCATAGAATTAAAGTCTTTTTATTATTACAATTTTAATCTTATTTCTTCTAAGTACATTTCCAATTTTAATACTTCCAATCCTAAATCAATAAATCTTTATTCATCATTAAATAAATTCTCTGTAACTTTTGTAGTTTATAAACTTTCTGTTATAGAAGATACTCTTCTATTAGATTGAAACTTTTTTTTATTACTTGTAGAAAAGTTTCTAGAAAAAACTATTTAACCAGCATTATTACTTCTACCAAACTCATCAATTAAGATGTTTTAATTTTTTGGCTATGAAACTGCTTGTTTTGGAGTTGTAGTACCAGTATTTGAATTCTATTATTCATATTTTTATATAGGATCTAACATTCTTCGAAAATCATTAAATGTTATTTATCCTGTTCTTTGTAGATCAATTCTATAAAAGAAAGCAATCTATTAAAATATTAGTTAAAATTACTAATTCTTCTTCATATAATAAAAGACCATTTCTTCTAAAAAATCTATCAAAATCTTTAAAATTAAGAATATTATTATTTAATGAATCTATGCTTTAAAACATTTAATGAGCATTATATAAATTATTTAATCTAATTTTCAATCTTTCTAAATTTATAGCTTCATTATATTCTCTAAGATTAATACTTAAAATACAAATTGAATAATTAAGCTAATGTATAATCGATTGATTTATCTATTGCAGCTTTTGTTGGTTATTTCATCACTGTAATCTCTCTAAGTTCACTATCTGTTTTTGGTAAAATTAAATTGAGAAAACTGAAAAATTAGGAACTATTAAAAATACTCTTAATAATTAAGAAATTCTTTCTAAAATGTTTTATTAAACAAAGTAGTAAGCTCTTGTACAAAAAAATCATTTTCTTTCAAAAATTGTACCACTGATTCAGGTTTAATTTAATTAGTATTCATGAAATCTAATCTACGTTTTGCCACTTAAATTACCTTTTAAAACAAGCATATGGATTAAAACTAGTTTTTCTACATAATTATATTCTGTTTTATTCAGCTCTCCTCTCAGTTAGGCTAATTTGACTTATGATCTCACATAATAGTTATTGTGATTCTTTTGAAATACTATAGGCCATCCTACTGTTAATTATAATTATAATTTAATAATTTTTGAATAAAAAAATCGCTAGATGATTATTCATTAGTCTATTTGAATTCATTGAAATTATTCAATTATCTATTTGAATTCATATTTATATGACAACTATCGAAAGTAAGTATTATTAAATAGGATATATGAGAAGATTCAATCAAATTCTAATCAATTTGAAAATTATATTAGCTGATAGCATCAAGGATCTATTTATTTAAAAACTTAAAATTAATTAGATATTGATTTAGTTAATTGTAAAAAATATAATTCTATTAAATTCAGATTAATTTCTTGATAAATTTTTATTTAAGAAATACAAATTATACTTAAATAGGAGAATTTAAAAAACTTTTATCAAACTTTTTTTAAACTTATATTTTATTATGGACAATTTAATTATATCAAAGAAATAATCAAAAATTTGAGAATTGGTTTTTGAAAGAGTTTAATTGAAAAGATATCATTATTATTTAATAATTAATCAGTTTAACAAAAAAATCAATGAAATAAAAATATAAAATTTATCAAAAATGGATGACTCTAAAAAATAATATAGCAAAATCAAAAATGAATTAAGAGAATAAATTATTCACAAGATTCTAATTGAAAAAAAGCCAATAATAGATGTAATAAAAATTTTTAATTTAGGTGGCCTAAGAACATAACATCTTACAATCTACCTGTAAATCTATAATTAACACATATATGAGAGAGGGTAGAGTGGGAAAAAAGGAGAGTAGAGTAAGAAAGTTAAAAAAAGTTATGAAAACATATGAGGTTGTACTAAACCCATTATATCCTTAAATGTCAACAATTGTTTTATCCCAAAAAATAGAAAATTGTGTGGAAAAATCAAAGAAAGGGTTAAAAGAGGAAAATGATTAAAATGAGAAAATTCCTGAAGTATAAGAGCTCAACAATTTATCTATGATATAATAATGGTGTGAATAGATTCAAAAATAAATATTTTTACTCTCTCATTCAAATTAATTCTTTTAAAGTTCCCCAAATCTAATACAGAAATGAAATATAAAATAAAAGTTTAAATACATCATACTATATATAATATTTAATATATTTAATGTAAAATATAAATTTCATTTAAGTTTATGTCGTTTTGTAAATTCATCAATTTATTCTTCAAATGTAATATCAGATTTTGAGATATCATTTAAAATAGGTTCATTAATTTAAGCATTTTTACTAAGTCTAAGTTTTTGATTTAAATTATGAAGAACTGTTGATAAATCCTTTTATTGTTATCGATGTTATCCATGCCATGTTAAATCATTGGATAATTAGGAAGACCCAATAGATTTCATTTATCTATTAGTACTTATTTGAATAGGTCTCAAACTGCTTTATGATGCAAAAGTATCAATTGTATTTTGATCATTATTAAATAAGTTTTTTTCAACAGCATATTAATAAAAATCAGAAACAGATTTTTTTTTTGTAATAGATTTATGATGTCTGTTAGTAATAGGAAGCGATACATTTTATTTATTATTGTTGATTTCCTTATTATTTGTGTGATAAGAATAATCCTGTCTTTCTGTATTTTCTAATCTTAAATTTAAATTAGTTAGATATTAATTATTTTAAAAGAATTTAGTATTTAATAAAGATTTATCTCTAAACTCAGGATCTAAGAAATTTAAATTGCTAGCTCTATCAATAGCCTTTTATCTTTCTCTTTCCTTTTATTTGAGCATAAAATCTAGTTTTGGATCTTTAGAATCATCTTTAAACATATTTTAAACTTCTAATAATCTTCTCTACGCTTCAAGTTATTTTAGAGTAGGTCCTTAAACTTCTGTTTAATATAGATGTCTAATTTTAGTGAATTTAAGATCTCTAGGACTGAATTCATCTCTCATTATAGTTGCTTTATATTATTTTGGAGATTTAAGTTATATTTTGCCAGTCATAGCTAAAGATTCAACTAAACTATATTATTCAGCTTCTTTTTCTGATTTAGATTATTTTCTTAAAATGTCAATTACTTTGAAACCATAAATAATTCTTTTTCTAAGTTCTCCTTATTTTGAATACTATATATTCCATTTGATTGGTAAGGGATGATTGATATTATATAAGGCTATTATGTTTCCAATTAAATCGAAAATTGAAATGAGACCATCAGATGTTGAAATTAGAATATATCGATTATCTAATTCTAAAAAACTAATAGAAATGATCTATTTTTTTGAAACTTTAAACATATGTAGATTTTTAATGCTAGTAAAATTTTCAGGAATTATAAATTTTTAAGGTTCACTTTATAAAAGTTATTCTTTTGCTTTTCTCAAAGGATTATAATTGATTCTCTCATAATATGGTTCTGTTGTAGCTAAATTATCTAAATCTAATGCTATTCTTATTATATTGCTTTCAGAAGTTGCAAATAATAGTTCAAGCTCCTTTACATTGAATAACATTTTAGTTACAAATTCTTATTCATTTTCTTCAGTAATATAATTATTTGAACCAATATCATACATATCAAATAGTTCAGAATCTACTTAAATATGTTCTTTAATGTTAAATTTAACAAATATTACTTTTCCTTATATAGTAGATACTGCTAATAGAGGATAATTAGCAATTATTATAATATTTGTTATCTCTGCATCGAATTCTAACACACCTAAACATTTGACAAATTCATAATCTATATAATAAAGTTTAGATCCTTATGATAATAAAATCAATGAATGATGAACAGATAATTCTAATTACGAAGCTTCAAAATGAATTATTTCTCTTAGAATTTCTCCATTCATTTTTTGGACCAAAATGCAATCTTAACATGCTGTAATAACTAGTTTATTTAAGATATCCAATTTCAAAACATTTATATCTGAATGTCCTTTTAATGAAGATATATATTCACCATTATGATGATAAATCTTAGTATTACCTTTAGAATCAGCCAATATAAATTTATTAAAATAATTCAAAGGTCTAAATTAAGTGATATCATCCTCAAATTCCGATAATAGGCCATTTAATATTGTTTTTATTTTACCAGTATATATGTCAAGAAATATAATTTATTTTTTTGTAGCTATAATCAACTCATCTCTTTATTAATCGAATTCTACTTTGACAGCATAATTCTCTATTTCTTCATTATGTCTTATATCTAATTTTAGAATATTAACTCTAGAGCCAAGAAAACATAACATATTAATATCTGACATATCTAAAATTTTAGTAATTTAAGTTTTTTTTCCAAAATTAAGAGATTAAAGACATGAGAATGTTCTAATATCCCATAATCTTAATGATCCACTATCATCACCAGAGACTAAGACAGGTAATTTACCAACCATAAGAATAGAAGTTAGCATTGACGTATGACCTGTCATTTTACCAATTTATGTTACATCATGATATTTAGGATTGATATCATAAACATTAATATAAGTAGAATAACCACAAGTAATAAATACTTAATAGTAATATGAATAGACTAAACTATGAATTCCACCAAAATCTTTAAGTGATAAAGTTATTTTGATTTCTCCATTTTATATATCCCATAAAGCTACTTATTTATCTAAGGAAGCAGTTGCAATCATTTTCATATGAATAACTTCCACACATTCAATAATATTTCCTTAGATACATTTATTTTAGAATATTAAATTGGCTGATTCATTCAATAAATCCCAAAAATATAATCTAAAAGTACTATCAGTTGTAACCCATTGATTTTAATTCTCTAAAAACCAGATATTAGTTTAATATTCTTATGATGCTAAAACAGTAGAAAATATTCTATATTTTTTAAAGTCACCTTCATACATACAAATAGAATGTGATTTTAATGTTAATCCAATCTGAATATATATAATAAAATTACTCTTTATTATCTATCAGACCATGCAAAACTCAAAATTATAGTTTCTTTATCTTCATGTTATGATATCTTAACCATTTATTTTAATGAACCATCTACATTATATATATTAATTTTAGAATCTAAACTATCAAGTGTAATAATTGATTTGTTGCAAAAAACACCTGTATGAACAATTCCATTATGATGTCTAATTGAATCGTTTTATAATGAATTTGGAACTATATGAAATATCTCATTATCACTACTACCAATAATTTTAGCTGATTCCTAGAATTATCAAATTTATAACTTACCACATCAATATCTCTAATTCTTGTTTTATTTAAATTGAATTTCTTAGGATCTGATATTAAACGTTGAGGTACCATTGTATTTTCACTTGTATCTACTTAACATACATAACTTGTAACATCTTATAAACTAAGTTCATTCTATTAACTTATTGCTACAACATCTTTATATAATTCAATCAATCCCATTACTAGATACAAAAGTTCACTTTATTTATGATGTACAATAGGAATCATCAATTTAATGAATTCAACCATATTTAATCGCTTTGATGGCCATTATCTTTCTATGACTAAGAGTTCATCTCTTTCAATTAATTCTAATATCTAAGATTTCTTAGATAATTTAAAGTCTGTATTTTCAGAATCCAACATTCTTACTAACACTTATTCAATTATCTGATTTACAGACATCTTATCAAATATTGTAATTTATATTATATTTCAACATAATATAATAAATATTATATCTCAGAATTATATTTAACCATTACTTAGATTGAATTTACTTGGATCAAAAGGTTATCCTTTAAATGGACTCCCTTCAGCATCCCAAGCTTTCTTTAACATCTCTAATTATTATTCTTCTTCTGTCGTTGGTAATCCTTACTATTTCCTTTGTTAATCATACATTATCTTTCTTATTGCTCCTTAAGTTTCAGAATCAAAATCTTCTAATGGTTTTGTATTCTCCACTTTTGTTGCATCTATTTCTTAATCTCCTTAAATTACTGTTTTCCATATATTCTCCTATCCCTTCTCCAATGTTATTGTTAATAGATTCTCTTCTATAGACCATATTGATTCATCACATTTCACCTTATCATATAATTTTCCATCTATTACTACATTATCCTTTACTTTCACTGTCAATGTACTTGCTGTTATTATCACTTTTATCTATTATTATAAATCTATAATCATTTATACATTTTTCTTATTAGATCCTTCTGGAACTTTCATTATTACTACTACATCATTTCCAGATTAACTCCATGAATATTTCTCCGTCTCACCTCCATTATATGTATTTATGTATGGATCTATTTTTTACTTATTAGTAAAACTATCTTATTTTTATTCATTTTAATCCTATTTTATCTTTCCATCTTATTAAATCTAATTTTCACTTTATTCACTCTATTTATCTTACTACTATTAATTTTATATCTCTTTCTTTAATGCTTCCTATTCCTTTTATTTCTCTTATAATTCCTTCTACTTTCTTTAATATATTTCCAATTTCTCTTTATATTCTTAGGCAGACTTTTTTTTATGCACTTTATAATGTTCATCTTAATATTTTTTAAATATATTTCCTAACATATTCAATGATACTCCAGGTGGAAATCCCATCTTATCTCCAGGATCACCTAATTTATTTTACATTCATTACATTCATAATAATAATCTGTTCTTCTCAATAAAAAACTAAATAAAGAATTTAGCAATCCTTCTATTCCTCCTGTTTCCTTTGCTATTAAAAAGAAATGTTCATCAAATCTATCCACCATTATTATAGATAATTTATTTTATTATTCAAATTTAATAATTATATACTAATAATTATAAAACTTCAAGAAAATTTCACAAACTTTTATATTTTCATATAGAGTTATGCTGCATTATCTTTTTTATTAATTATAATACATCCATCATATAGATAAGATATTGGATAGAAATTTTATAGTATACAATATATTCCATTTCAGTAATCTATAAAATAGATTTTTTCTGATTATAACCATATACAAGATTAAGATCTCTACTTTAATGTAATCTGAAAAAAATTGTTAAAGTATTATATAGATATAAATCTTCAAGTGTTATATTCACTTAATATAAAAAATTGAAATATTTTACTTATAAATAATATTGATAATAGCATAACTTAAATTAATAATATTATCAATTATAAATATGAAGTTAAAAATAAATCCAGTTTTATATGTTATGTGACGATCTTGAAGAAATTAAATCAAAAAGTTGAGTTATCCTTTTTAGAAAGAATCTATTAATAAATTTATAGGCTGAAAATAGTTTTACTTAAATTTTGAATAATTTCACATTTTTTCAAATAATTTACTTATATTAGCATGATTGAAATAAAATTAACATATCAAATATCATCTAATCCCTAACTTTATTAAATTTATTAAACCTCAACCAGGGATAGAATTGAAATTGTTATAGGAATTACTTATCTTATTATTGGAAATTTTGGATTATATTGAATGATAATAAATTGTGAAAGAAAGCAGTGATTGAAACAACCACAAAAATAATCAAAATAAAATAATAAAAATATACATAAAACTTTCTTTGATAAAATAATTATCATATAATGAAAATAAATTATAAAAATAATTAATTAGAAAATGTTTTTCATATTCTATATGATGATGTAATAGATAGTTGCTGAGGAGTATAACATCTCTGAAATTACACCGCTATTATTGATATATAGATATCACGGAGAGTGGAAATCCGAAACAAATAATGTTTAAAATAGCATTTCTATAATAGCCATTTAATTATTTAGAATAGACTAAAGGAGAAACATTTATTTAAATTGTCTAGCAAGATTAAGAAGAAAAAGATCTCTCAAATAGGACTATATATACAATAACTATGATGTTTCTAGATCCTATTTATTTTGATGAAAAAATTGTTTTTGGGATTTTTAATGTTAGCGATATTAATTAAACAAATTTGTAATGACATATAATATGTATAGATCCTGGAAGGGGAATACAGATTTTGTTTATTTTAAATATTACAAAGAAAGAGGAGGAAACCCAAATGTCACTTGTAAAATGAATCATGACATAAAATTAAATTATCAAAAAGGTATATTAACATTTTGATGCATAATAGATGAAATAGATTCTAAAAAATTAAATTTTACCATTTAATTAAGTAGTAACTAGTAGGATAACGAAGATTGTAATATAGAAATATTCTCAGAATATCAGATTTATTAATCAAATACTTATAAATAGGTGCTTTTTTACAGTTTGATGTTAAATGTCTTATGTGCAATATAATATTTTTGTGTTAATAGATTAATAGAAAATGTTTTGAGAGATGAAGATAATTCAATTGTTTAAAAAGTAAGCTTAATTATAATGTATAGATTTCAATTTTCTGTGTGGGTTTTGTAACAATATATGATACATTTTTAGCATTTAAAAATTTAAGCTTTGCTTTTGGACAAATGGTATATTTAAATATATATATATAGTATTTCTAATATTTCATTTTGCCTGCATTTTTCTTTTTTATGCTGACGATGAATTGTGATTTAAAATTATTATGGATTATTTGCAGATTAAGATTTTAAGAATAATTCTAAGATTAATAAAGTTAAAGACAATTTTTAACGAAATTTTTCATTATCTATTGTAAAATATAAAATTTATTCTATTAGATGTTTCTGTATTAACTATGTTTTTATTGTTGGAAGAATATGAATTGTATAATTCATTTTTATTGATAATTGGTTTTTTTATGACACCTTAAATAATTCATAATTTTAGAGAAGGAACGAATCCAAAATTTATGCCAGAATATATATTTGGATTTTTATCTATAAATATTGCAGTTCCAGTAAATAAATTTAATAGTTTAAGCTATACTTTAGAGGATATCCAAATAATTTTAGAAGATTAAAACCTTCAATCGAATTTTGTATTTGTTGGGTGTTGGTCTATTTAGTTTAAATTTTAATTTTATATATCTAATTTAAAAAAGGTCCTCGTAAGATTATTCCAAAATGTTTATTACCAAAATAATACAATTATTTTTAAGATTATAAACCTTTAGATCAAGAAGATTGTGCAATTTGTTTATTACATTTGATGATTGAACCAAACTAATAAGAATAAGATTTAGATAGAATGTTAGTAAGCAAAGTTTTAATGATTACTCCTTGTGGACATAAATTTCATCCTTATTGTTTAAAAACTTGGCTTGAAGTCAAATTAACTTGCCCTACTTGTCGAAATACTATACCTGCAATTTGTGAATGAATTGAGACGATTAATTTATTTCCAATTATCAGTAATAGTTTTATTTTTAACTCTTAATTTTAGTTAAATACTTAAAATATTCTGTATATTTATAATTTATTGGCCACTCTTTTTCAAAAGTGAAATTATATTATCTTGTAAATAAACTAAAGAAAAATCTCTAAATAAAATAATATGATCTTAGTTAAATAATTTGTATTGACTTTTTATATACATAAAATAGTAAGCGAAAAATAGTTAAATTTATTTATATATTTATGTGAATTTTAAGAAGTTGAGCAGTCTTTTAAAAAAAATCTTAGAAAGAGCAAATTTTATAATATTTTAGTCTATGCATTTCAGAATTTAAATTTAGAAGGTAGCTGATGAAATCTTTTATTATAATCTTAATAATTTAAATATATTAATTTATTAAACTTACTTGTATAAAATGATTATCAAGAAGAAATTTCACTTTAAGTTGAAACTTAAGATTCCATAACTAGTTTGGCCATACCAGCTGTAATAAGATTCATCGATAATTTAGCTTTTTCTTTTCTTACAGTTTTCAACTAAAGGGACATTTTCTCTAATTCCTCATTTTTACTTATTAATGTTTATTCCAATTAATTGATAATTTTTTCATATTCTTCATTTTTATTATTCTAATTAATTTGCAATTATTATGTAAGGTTATCAAATTCTTATTTTTCTCTTTATAATGCTAATTATAATTCATTAATTTCCTACTGCTTTTATTTGAGTCCAGTTTCATAATCCCTGATACCTAATTGGCATGATTATAGTTAAATTAGCTATTGTTATAGCATAGAATTCTTAATTTTTAATGCTTCTACTTAAGTTTCTTTTTCAGTTAGTGTCACACATTTACTATCTAATTCCAAAACTAATTGTTTGTATTCATATTAATCTTTAACATTAATTTTAATGGGAGTTTATTGATAAGCTATTTTAGTTTTTTCTAATTATTATTCTAATTATTTGAGTTTATTTTATAAATCATTAATTAATATTTATGATGAGGATTCATTTTTTAAATATTAATTTATTTTTTTTTCCATTTCTTAAATGGTTTAGTTTTGAGATGTAATTTAAGCTAAGTGTATATCGTTATCTTATTCTTTTTATTGAAAAATTGAATTGATTTGATCTTATTACTCTTTAATAGTTTTTTCATATTTAAGATTAATATTTTTGATTGATTCAAGATTTGAGATGATTTGATTAAGCTCATCCTACTTGTACTCTAATTACTTTTCTAAAATTTCAATATCATTTTATGTTTTTTAATTTATTTACGATTATTAAAGAACGAGATTTACTTAATTTTTCCATTATGTGATTTCTTCATTTAACTGAATATTTTGAGTCAAAAGCAATTTATTTTATTCCATAAGATTGGTATTCTCTTAAGAAAGTACAATAATTTGTTATTCTAAAAGTGTTATTTTTTCACAATATTGTTTAACAACAGTTTCTTGCTCTTTCATAAGGGTTTCTATAAGTGCTTCATAATTTTTTTGTGGAGGCAAAGTCTTACTCCACTATTGACTATGTGATACACTAGAGCTTGCATTACTTTTGGATGAACGGAAAGGTTAAACACAACTTGCATATACACCTTGTTATAATTGTGCAGTTTTAGAAGCATTGTTTTTGATTTCTAAAACAACACTAGATTAAGGATGAACTAAGGTTGTTTTATGATGTCTGATAGGACTCTCTTAAGTTTTAATTTCTCTCAAAGAATCAAGTTTAGCTATGAGACAGGAAGCATCTCTTAAGTTTTATAGATCATTTGATACCTATTTAAATTTGATGACTCTTCAACTTTAGACTAAAATATTGATGGTCTGATTGTGGTCTATGATTTATATCCTTATCGTAATGGAACCAAAGGAATTGATTATAATGACTATTTTTGTATCTAAGTGTTTGCTAACTGCTACGATATCAAAGTAGGTTCTTGTGTAAGATTAAACATTTTACAAATGATTTAAGATTGATAAGAGTTTTCATAAGGATTATTAACAATGCTTTTCATATTTTTATTTATCAGTTGATTTTCTACAATAACAATAAATTATAAATATCCTCTAATCAATATCTGCTAACTTAGAATTGATTTCTTAAAAAACCTATATCAATTCACAACATCCTTTTCTTTATGAATTAGTTCTTTTATTTCTAGATCAGTGTACTTTCAATTAAAGTTCCTCAATAAATATAATTTATAACAATAATACGAATTCCTTTAGAAAATAAGGTCATTCTTTACCTAAATTCGATTGAATATTATTAATAAACTTTAAAAGATAACATATAAAAATATATAACAAACTTGAAACAAAAAAAACGAATCTACAGAACTTAAATTAGTGTTGCTATTAATAGTAAATAATTTAAATTATAATAAATATTAAGATTTAGTGCTTATAAATATTGCCTAATAATTTGATAGAGATAGTTTAATAAAACAATATAAATTAATACCAGATGAATTGATGTTTTTTTAATCTTTATGAATTATACCAATTTATAGGAAAAGTAACTTAAATAATCGATGGGGATAAATAATAAGTAGGCAAAATTTGGATTAATTTAATTTAAATGGTTTAATGATGCAACCTTCATAAAAGCTTTTATGGCAAGAATATGTGATTGAAATATAGATTTAATCAGAAATTTCAAATATGATATTCGCATTCAAAGAATAGGAAAATCATCTAAAGTGAACACTAGTTTTATATAACATTAGTCTAAATAAATTAGTCGAAGAATTTGTCTTAAAAAAGATGGAAAGAAACAGTTTAAATTGAGTTTCATACTGTATATTATGAGATTTCTCTTAAAATCTCCTATGAAAATTTTAATTTAATGAAATCAAAATATGAATAAATTTTTTAGAGAAAAGATTGAAAGCAAATGCAGCTATCAAAAGTTAATTAGGATTATTATTATTGTAGATGAATAATTCATTCATACATAATTTCTTATTCCATGATGATGTCATTTAATTAAATACTATCACCTAATGGATCATAATCTTAAACAATAAGAGTATCTCCAACTCTTAGTTTTTTTCTGTTCTCTTCATTAATGATAATACATCTAAATTAGTATTTAATGATAACCCTGCAGAACATCCATCAATGGGTGGTACACTCCAATCACTTGGTGTGCAACAAGCACATCCATGAATCATGATTTCTGTTCTGCCACACATTCTATCTGAATCATTACCATCTATCCAAAAAGAACAAGGTCTATCAACTGGAGGATTATGCATAGTATTTTAACAAGTTTTTATAGTATATGTATTTGAAGGTGCTGGTCCTTAGTTCTTTAAACATTAGGCTGCAGGATCATTTCTATACTAATTTAGAATATAGATTGTATACTTTTCCAGCTCCAGAATAACCAAAAGTATTAATAGCTGAATCTCCACTTCCTCCAAAGAATCTTCCTGTATTGATGTAATAATAGAATGTCATTGAAGGTCTAGTTGGTAAATCTTAACAACATGTTTATCCACAATTTCCAGCTTAGGTGATGGCAATAAATAATAGAGCAAGAAAATATTTCATTTATAATATAGATAAATTAGATCAACAATATGTTAAATGTTATAAGAAATACTTCATTGTTCTTCAACAAACTAAGTATAGCCTTCTAAGAATTTAGCTTCCTCACCTAAAGGATCATAGCTTTCAATAACGATAGTATCACCAACTCTTAATTTCTTTCTATTAGCTTCATTAATAATGACGCATCTATATGATGTAATCAAATATAAATATACCCAGCTGAACATCCATCAACAGGTGGTTGTGTCCAATCTCCATTCGTACAACATTAACAACCGTGAATAAAGATTTCACTTCTACCACACATCTTTGATTCATCTACTGCTTCAATCCAAAATGAACATGGTCTGTCAACAGGAGGACTATGCATTGTATTTTTGCATAAAGTTATTTTATAAGTTGTAGCTGGAGCAGGACCTTTGTTCTTAATGCATTATGATGCTGGATCATTACGATACTGTATTTTTAATATTACATTTAATTACTTGTCCAGATCCTGAATATCCAAATGTTTTAATTGCAGAGTCACCACTACCACCAACAAATCTACCTGTATTTATATAGTAATGATATGTCATTGCTGATCTCGTCTTTAGATCTTAACAACATGTTTAACCGCAAGATCCAGCTAATGTTGCTGCTACTAAACTTAAAATTATATAAAATTTCATTATTTTATTAATTAAATTTAAAACAATATTTTATTGCTTCTAATATATGGAGAAATAATCAATGTATAATTAATTTCATTTTTTAGTGAATTTAAGTTTCATTATTTATGATCCAGGTTTTTGTTAATTAAGAGTAGATAATTTTTTGTATGATTAAGGTTTAACAGATCTTATTGCATGTTCAATAGTACGATCATCTCCTATTATATCAATTTGTTATATTGACACCTCCTCATCATCTGATTCTTCTTGAATAAATTCAGAACTTTATTTGTGATTGAAAGTTTTCTTAAATCTACTAGATTAAGTTTAGTGTTATTATTATTAGGGATGAGATTCTTGATATTATATATGAAATAAAGGGTATGATAAATCTTTTTCATTATATCCACTTGCTTAAATCAATCTACGAAATAATTATTTAAATTTCTCATATTCCTAAGGAAAATCATTTGCATTGCTAATCTTAACTAAATTTAAAAAATGTATAAATTCAATAGGAGCAGATTTAAATGTAATTTCAGGAATTATTGATAATTTTATGTTTTCCAATTTCTTTAGTTTCAATCCTTTATTATCTGCTTGTATTTTAAAGATCTTTGATTTTGTTACATAAACAAGCAAAATATAAGCAAGTGATTCGAGATCATCTTTTGGTGTTGGAACTAATTTATTAATTTGTATCTTTACATTAATGAAGGTGTTGACTAACACTTGAGTATTTATTGAGGAACTATTTATTTGATAATGATTTATGGTTATCCATATAACAGATTGATCCATGTTATTACTTAAATTTACTTGCAAATTTAAAATCACTTAATAAAATTTCATTACCACTGGTTGAAAGCAATAGTTTCTTAGGTCTGATGTTTCGATGAACTATTTAGTGTTTATGAATAGTTTCTAAACATGTTAACTATAATCTAAGATCTATTATACAGTTTATATTGCTATAAGACATATTATTGGAAGAGGAAGATTTTTTGACAGATAATTATATATTAGTTTTATAGAAGGACCATGTCTTTTCAGAATTTAAAAATGGTATTTTTAACCATTTATAATCTATTCTCCATAGTTAACTAAAATTGGAACACAGTTGCCTATCATTATTATATAAATTTATACCATTTTTCAGTCTTTATAAAAATTACAGTTCTGGAATTATCTCATTTTATTAAGCTTATCTTTAAATCATAAAGGTATTCTTCTTACTTTTTCATCTTTATTAGATAGAACTTGTCTTTCTAATCCATTTAATTATAATCCTCTAACTATTCCATATTGATGGCTAGCTATCTTTTAAATTCAACTTTCATTACCTAAATAAATGTTATATTATTTCCCCTTGTAAATATTTTTGATTATGCTGTATTTTTTATCAATAACTATTGAATTTGTAGACTCAGTCGTACTTTTAGTTTAGGATGTATTTAACATTTAAATAAAATTAAATATTCTGAATTTTATTGAATTTTAGAAAATTACAGTTACATATATAAAATTATTAAAGATGTAAAATTTGTCAAGTTACTGTTTTAGATTTGATAGTGAACAATTATAAATCAGAAAAGACATTATTATGTTAGTAAATTATTTAGAATATCCAATAAACTTTTTAATAACTGAATATGCTATAAATTGTTACTATGAATAAGTATTGCTAAAGCTTACATAATAGTATGGAGAAGAATAGGAAAATATTGACAATAGGATATTTAAATTAAAATATAATTTCTTTTATAAAAATGGATTTTTAGCATCATACAAATAGTACTAGGTAATTATGATTATATATGGAGGAAGTATGAGTGGATCATCATCACCTAGTTCAAAAAGAGGAGTTTAAGAATTTTATTATGATATTTTTTAAGATAAGAAATAGAAAAGGAATAAACATAATTGTTATAGAAGTGGTTCTATAGTTTTAGGATCTGTTAAAGAAGTATCAGAAGACATAGAGGATTATTTAGTAATTTAGTATAATATAATAGACATCAAGAATACCTCATATATAAATATAAAATGATAAGTTTGAATTTAGACAGAATATTAGTTAAAGAGATAGATCATCACCTTTATTAATTAGAAAATAAGAATATAAGAAGAGAAGAGCATCTTTGAGTCCTCATGGAAGTAATGCATTACAGAAAGTTGAAGAAGTAAATGGAGATGATGATGAACTAAAGAATAAATGTATCTTTAAATTAGGATTGATATTCGATAAGAATGAATTTAATCATAAATAGAAAAGATCATCTATTGTTAAAGAAAGAACTAATCATGAAGTAATCCAAAATTTAAAGACATCTAGCCGAATTAATCGATTATTGAAGATGCATGTGAAAATATAAAAGATTAACATACATTTACTAATCCAACTTTGAAATTGAAAGTTGATGAAGTTGATTTTGGATAAGATAAAAAGTAATGGGCTCCAGAAGAAATTATAGAGATTATTGAAGAAGAAAAACCAGATATCATTATTAATCTTAAAGAAAAAGAAATGTTTTAAAAAGGTACTTTATTTAGTCTATGAGATAGTTAAAAAAATATTACATGAAGAAAGAGACTTTTTAAAGAAAATATTAAAAGGAGATATGATTGAGTAAGAGGATATCAAAAAAAAATTAGATTTTTAGTTGTAGATTGGAGAAGCATATTGGAACAAATTAATATAAGAAGCAGAAGAATAAGTTAATAGTGATGAAGATTAATTATGATTATTATATTATTATTAAATATTTTATAAATCAATCAGAATTTAATTCAAAATTATGAGTTAATTTAGTATCATTAGATAAGGTTACAGTGTGAGTCAAATACATAAAGATGCTATATATGATGTGTTCTAAAGAAGTTAGAAATAAAAGGTCTTTGTCAATTAAGCAGAATTCATTCGAAATCAATTGAATCAACTTTTTGGACCTTAATGGGTTGTATTTTTATGGGAAATAGGACTTAATTATGATTATTCCTTTTTTAATAAAGAGGAATATGTTTTTGAATTTGAATGTGATAATAAACGATGTCTCATTTTAAAATGGAATTTTGTTCATTCAGAATACAAACCTTTAGAGTAATTTATTTTATAATCAATTTTAGAGTAAAGTATTTGAGCAATATTATGTGAATTTAAAATTAATTATGTCTGTATATGCTACTACTATACTAAATCATTAAAAATAAGGATCTTCTAATAACTAGGTTGCATTTGGTCTTTTACTAGTGTCCCTCATTAACATTTTAAGAATTAAACTTTTTGCAGGACCATCATACTTCATTTTAATTCTAATATTATTAGGAATATTTTATTACTCTTTAGTTTCTATCTGATTAAATAGATCCAACATAATTTCACTTTAAAATGGCAATCTTAATTCAATCATACAATAAAGAACCACTCCTAAACTCCAAATATCTGCTAAATGACCACTATATCCTGGAATCTCACTTTTTTTATTTTCTCTTAAACATTCAGGAGCAACAAATTAGAACGTACCTTCAGTCCCTTTTACTCTATCATTTTATGGACTCATTTATTGAGCTGAACCAAAATCACATATCTTAATTTATTGATTTTTAGTCAATAATATATTGTGAGGCTTTATATCTCGATGTGCAACATATTGTTATTGTAGATATTGTAAACCCATTAACATTTGTTTTACATAATCTTTAAATGTCAATTCATCGAATTTCCATTAAGCTGTAAATATTTCCTATTTACTTTCCCATTTCAAAATTTATCCCATTTCTGCATATTCTAAAACTACATATAATTTCTCTCTCTCTTCATCATCATATATCTCAAACATTTTTATTATGTTTGGATGATCTAATTTTTAATGAATTTCTATTTCCCTATATACTTCATCTAACAATGAAACATATTTTGTTGCTTAAATTAATATACTATTTATTTACTTCCATTAGGATTCTTATACATTTTATTCTTCTTCTTTAAAATAAACTTATTAAACTTTTTTATTGCATATTCTTGATTATCTTTTATTGCTAATTTTATTTTCCCATATGAACCTTCACCAATTATTTTCATTACTTTAAAACCATTTATAATTTTCTTTTTCTAAAAAAATCATTATGATACTTTCTTACATCATTAGGATCCCTTTGATATACTATTTCTTTGCTTTTATATATTTTACATTACTTATTCATTTAAATTAAATAAATTAATCAAAATCAGATCTTTCTGGAAGATAAATTATAGTTCATAAGTTATATCAATTTAGAAATTTTTAAGAATATATTCACATACATAAAAAATATTTTATCAAATCATTCATTCATTGAAACCAATTTTATTATTTTTAGTAGAAAAAATACTTGTAGCTTTAACAATTATTTTACTTGAGTCTATAATAATAAACTTATTAATTCTTTTAATAAATTAATTTTTATTAAAAATAACTATATGATATAAATTTATTGATGATTTCATCATTATTTATATATATTTATTTGTTAAAAAGAATTTAATTAACAAGAATTATCAATCATAAAGAGTATAAAAAAATATTTTAATCAGATAATAAAGAATTATGATTAGAAAGTCGAATAAATTTATTTAAAATTGACATTTTTATTAAATGAATACAAAAATTTTCATTACTTGATTTAATAATCTAACTTTTATTAACATGAATAAAGTTCATCTTCTAAATAATTGTTCTTCTCTATTAATTAAGTTCGTTCTAAGTTTAATAATTCAGATTTTTAATTTAAGAGTGAAATTTAATCTAAAATTAATCATTCATATTTACCTTCTAATTGAGAAAGTCTTAATTCAAAAACATCTTAAATATCATGCTAAGGCACTGTAATGTAATGGTTAATAATTTATTTTAAAGGATTAAGTGAGATTTAGAAATCCATTTTTAATTGAAATAGACTTTGTTTTAAAGAGATGTTTTCTATTTTTAATTATTGTATTTACTCTAACAACTGGCTATAGTTGTTCAATTTTTGATATTTTTATTAAATATTCTATTAATAGAACTTAAACAATACGTTTAATGTATTGACACGACTCTGTTTGAGAGTTTTATTTTCATAAGTTAGATATTCTACTTTTTTTGTAAGTTCAACTATTTATTATTACAAATTTTCAATAAACCCTCTATCAGATTAAAGGACTGGAATAGATTTTAAGTATTTTTCCTGTTTTTAGTTTTTACAGAATTATGAAAGCACTAACTAATAACTTGTAGGTGAATGATCAATCTTTTTGAATGATTATTGTGATGATTATTTTGAAGAAGCAGCTATATAAATCAATATCTAAACTACTTGATGGAATATTTCGTATTCTGTTATCTGACATATATATTTATTGATGTAAAATTAATAAATTTTGTCATTTCAGTTTTGGATACTCTATATATATACAAAACATAAACTAAGAAAATTATATTTAACAAAATAATCACATTAAAATTGTGTTCTATTTTAATACTTCTTTTGAGATGTAATTTTCAAATAATTATGTATGATTGTCAATAAAATGATTATATTAAGATTACAATAACTTAAGTATATATAATTTCTTTTGATTTTATGAACAAATCTTATAAAAATCGTTTATTGTTTATTGAATTTTTGAAATGATTAAGAAAAATTAAATTAAAATAATATTGACTTTTTATGTTTTATTATTTTAATCTAGTATTTATTATTATTGAAGATGTAATTTTTTTTAATATAGATAACGATAATTATTAAATGTTTGTATAATTTTTAAGTATTTTCTTTCAGTTTATAATTGAATAGGTTATTAATGATGAGAAAATATTTAGAAGAAATTATGAAAGATTTCTATGATAATTATACTAAGGTATATTTATTGTAGTTATTATAATTAATTAATCAGTTAAGCAATAATGAGTTTCTTAGAAAGCTATGACTTTCTACTAACAATACGACATTTGGAATTAGGGTAAATTGATATTTGGAAATAAAAAGAGAGTGGATAATTGGCTTATTGCAAAATATTATAATCAGATATTTCAAAATAGGAATTGAATGAAAGATCAAATTGGGAGCACGAGAATGTAATTGAGTTATTAGCTGCTGAATTACATAAATAGAATGACAATAGTTATATTTCAATATATTATGAGTTTTATGATTCAACTTTACAAGATTACTTAGTAAACCAAGAATTACCAATTGCAGAAACTGAGATCTGGAATTTATTTTATTAAATTTTGCAAGGAGTGATGTTTTTAAAATCTAAAAATTAAACATCAAACTTAACTACAACTTGCATATTTTATAATAATGGATAGATTAAAATAATTGAAGGACACTCTTATAATATGTAATAGTAATTAGGTTTAGTTCTATTTGAATTATGCACAAGAGAATCATAATACTTGATTTTAGAAGAAAACAAATCCATAAATATTAATAATTTGAATAATATGATGAATGAATGTAAGTACAGTAAATTATTAATACAAAAAATATTTGATCTAATTAATTCAAAAGATACAGATTAAATTTAATTAACATATGTAAGTACTCAAAATCTAATTAGAATTAATTGTCTCCATTTAAAGATAATATTTTATAACTAAAACCATTTAATTTTTAGAATTATACTAACACATCATCACTCACAGATAGAGCAAATAGAGCAATTAGAAATTATAAAGAAGTATTAAAGAGAGTCAATTAAATATATCAATTAGATTAATGACTATATATAGAGATAATACACTTTTACACTTATTTTTTTATTCCATAATTAATTCCAATATTTCAAACATTATTCTCATTTTATTGAATAAAAAAAATTATTTGATCATATTTCATATTGTTAAACAATGCATTCATAGACTTAAATAGTATCCTCCAAAATATAATATTTCAATGATTGTAAATTAAAATTTAATGAAAGTTTCTAAATATTCTTCTTTTAAAGGATTTTCAAATAATATGCTAAGAATTTATTTAATTCTAGTCAAAATTAGATTATTAAAATGATATAACATTCTCTAAGTACAAGAATTGTTTGATTTATTCAAACAATTTTTAGTGATATTATTTTCTATGACAGTTATTTCATATGCTCAGACTCAAACTATTCTTATTAATGAATATCTTAATTCTCGATTATAGTAAAATAATTAATCCAAAGCAACAATCATCTTATTTTCAAGAAATAACTAATTATGAAATATAATTATTGGTTTTCATTTAGTTATAATATTTATAAGATATTCAAAAATTAAAAATAAGATTATCTATCATTTACTCTAGTTAAATATATATGGTTTTATGATAAAAATTAGTTTTGATTTTGATAAATATTATTATTGTATTCTTACAAATCTTTTAAGAATATAATGAAACTTAATATTTCTTGAAGACATTAATTTTTAAAGGGATGAATATGGTCTGAATAATTATTAAGATCTTAGACTGATGAATCTAAGAGGAAAGTTTTCCATGAATTGAATGAAATACTATCCATATGTAAAATCAATAAATAATTTTGAATTTTTGAATATATTTCACTCTTGACTATAAAATTCAATGAATCAGTTAGTTTGAGTTTTTCCTACGTACTGAAACTTCTTCCTATCTATTTTATTCATAGATAGTAATTTCAGTAAGTCATCATCATCATTCTATTCTTCAATTTGTAAGAATTCTGTTCTTAATAAAGATAGATTGTAAATCAACAATTTATGATTATTAAGTATAGCTGTAGTCGGAAGAAATGTTAATGATTTTGAAATTTGTTTCAATATTAGAGGTTGTCTAATGAAATTAGTTGCTAATCTTAGAAACATTATTAATATTAATGGATTAATTTTTCAACGAATTCGAAGTTTATTGTAGAAATATTGGTATTTTGGAATAGGAATAAAAATTTGAAGAAAAAGGAGATGAATTAAGTTAAATCTTATTTTAACATATACTCAAATTAAACAATGAGTCATTAATGAAATTATCAAATCGAATTATAAAAGTATGGTAAGAATAACGAACTTTAAAGTCTGTTCAACCAAATAGTTCTAATTAAATAACAAAGAGAAGTAAACATAGTTAATCTACTCCATAAGAATCAATGAAGAGTATAATAAATAGCAATATTTAATCTACAAATTATTTATATGATCAATATATATAAAAAGAAGAGAATTAAATTCTAAAATCTTAGAAGATTATTTAAGAATAGTTAAAAGAATGTACATTTTAACCTTAAATCTTAAAGAAGAGTTAATTGTTAGATACAAACATTCCAGTTCATGATAGACTAGCTAAATTTGGAAGTGATTAAAGATTGAAATAATAAATTAGTGCAGAAGTCAAAAATAAAAGTGATTTAAAATAATGTACATTTCGACCTTAGGTTAATCATAAAACTACAAAGACTTTAGAAGGAGATCCATTCTCTCGATTATATTTGAATGCATTATCATAAAGATAATCCAAACCTTAGAGTTAAGAGAAAATTTATTCTCATTAACCATAACTTATAAGTCAACCACTTTAATAATCATAAGGCTATCTAACAATCCCAGTAGAATAAAGATTGTATAATAACTTCTTTGAATAGTAACAATCCATTTTACAGCAGTAAGAAGTTGAGAAACAAGTTGAACTTTAAGAATGCACATTTACTCCTATGATTAATTAATATGCTTCAATTTCAAATGGAATTGAAAATAAATCTAAAGTCTTTGATAGGCTTTACAATAAATCTGCTACATAAAAATCAAATTCTGAATTGAAAGATTAAACTATTAATCGTATTTCAAGCAGCAAATAATCAGAATAAATCATTAGAAATGCCAGTTTTGATAAATCAAAATATGTATCATAATTTTAGATTGAATAATCTCCATATGATAGATTACATGAAGAATACAAAAGAATTCAGAAAAAGAAAAAAATAATTGAAAATAAAGTTTTCTCTAGTATTCCATTTAAACCTAAAATTAATAAAAAATGACAATGAGCTATTGTAATTTCCTATAAATAAATTCATGTAAAATTGATATCAGGAACTAAAATTTCTTTGCTGAAGATACCAATTTTCAAGTTTTCTTTGCTTAAGAATTCAAGTGGAAATTCAACTGCATGACCTACAATTTATGATGATAATTAATCATATTTGGAGAGGTCACCTGAGATTTTAAACTAAAATTTAAATATTCTTTTACAGTTTAATAATCGTTCAATGTTTTAATATTATCATCAGGATAACAAGCAAAAACTTATCTATAAATTAAAGTATTTTAGCGAGTATTAGTTCTGATTTGTTCTTATAATTATTAACTTAAAGGATCGATCACTTCGTCATATTTTAATCCGAAATGTTCCATATAAAGAGAAGTCCTTAATTCTTATACAAATACTGAACTTCGAACTGTTTCACCACCCATAATAGATTACTTCTTTTTATTATCATAAATAACTATGGCTATTTCTGAATCCCTGTCTCCTTTTAGGCTTCTATCATTAATATTTGCTGAACCTATAAGTGCATATTCATCATCAATAATTAAAAGTTTAGAATGTATATAAATTTATTCTGTTTTTGGGACATCTAAAATCTTAGAATGAGTTCTTAATGAATAAAATTCTATATATTATCTAGGATCTGGTATATTATCATCATTTTTAAGAGCATCTAGAATAGAATTCTTTCCTCTACAAATTGTCATATATTCCCAATGTAATTAGACTTTCATAACTTAAGAATTCTTATCAATTTCTCCTGCAAAACCAGGTAGTAATGGTATAAATACAATTACTTTAAATTTTTATTTTTTTAATGCTGCTTACTTAATTCTTTTAATTATTGCTAAAGCTACACTATTTTCAGGGATAGAATTATTGTCAGTAGCACTAATAAAGAATTAATTTTCAATATATATGAAATTTTAGGCCTCTGAAATTAATTGTGTATAAGCAACATGAATAGAACATTCTGAATTACTAGATGAACTTCCAATTGACCAATTAGAAGCTGATCTAACAATTTATGTTTGACATTCTCCTTTTTCATAATTGATTTATATTTTAGGTTATATCATGATACTTGATCTAAATACTTTATTATTTTTAGGTATGATTTCTTCTTCAAATCGATTTTCTTCTGGATGGATATTATTAAGAATGTCATAAAATTCTACATTACACTATTATTGATTAGGGAATATAGCTGAAAGTCTTTATCTTTGTTGAATGTTCTAATCCTCTTTAGATTCTTCAATTGGTTATAAACTTAATAATTCTTCTTTAATTTGATTCTTATACTTTTAGAAAAAGTTATCTTGATGATTATTATGTTGATGTTAATCTTAAATTTTAGAATAATTATTTTAATTTTTAGCATTTCCTTATAATTGATTGTTTTTTCTCTTTACAAAATCCCTACTAATTGTAACATGATTCCAATATTATTCAAAATGTCTAACAAGATCACTAACAGATTATCCAACAACTCTAACAGCAATATCATGCCAAGGCATTCTAGGATCGCTTCTTTTAATTTAAGATTGATCACTTTTATTTACATTTTCAAAATCTTTCATTCTATTATTTGCATAATCAATTCCAGGCCAATATTATCTTTAATTATCTAGATCACTTAATAAATGATTTTAATTATCCATTCTACCAAAACATAAATCCAATCCTCCAAGAAAACCCACAGTTCCATCTACAACAACAATCTTTTCATGATGACTCCAAAGCGAAGGAAGAGGACATGGATGTCTCTAAATTATTATATTAGAAGATAATTTTTCTAAAAAGTTTTTAGTATGATTTGAATCATGTTTTAAAGCTATTGTTGGTTCTAAATACATCAAAATATAAATGGATACACCTTTATCTGCTATCTTTTTTAATATTCTATCTAATCTAGAATCTTAATTTATTTAATCAGATTAATCTAATGCTATAGGTCTTTTTAAATATACATCTGGACTCATCCACCAATCTGTTATATAAACATATTCTTTTGCATTTAATAAAGCATCCATTACATCACTAAAATATCCTTCTCCATCTATATACCATTTACAATGACTATCCTTTACTGGTGCAAATGAATTAAATCTATGAATCTACATATAAGGACATTCATTTGTTGCTTATTTCAATGCTGTCAAAAATTCTGTAAATGTAAAATAATCTGGAGCTACTAGTAATAAATGTCTTGTTGTAAATTCTAATTTTATGCCTCTATTATATCCTGTTCCAGCTAAACCATATTTCATACGAAAGTTATAATCAAATACTAATTATTCTCTCATCTATGTTCTCTATCCAAAAGGACCTTTACAATACATCAATCCATTATTTGATATATAGAAATATCTAAAAAATTATTTTATTTTTTTACCTTTTAGACCATCTTCCCCATAAAGTTCCACATCTTGTACATCGACTTTCTGAAAATCTTCCACCTGCTCTCTTTTTTAAAGTACATTCTTTATATTTTTTAAAATCTCCATATTCAACCTCAGAAATCTCAAAAAATTTCAAAACTTCTTAACTTAAATCATTTTATTCTTCATTTTATAAAAATTGCTTCAAAAAATTAGATAATATTTATTATTTCACACTTGGTTAGTCTTCCATACTTTCTTTTGTTACTTCTTTTTTTTTAAACAAATAAAGTGGATCTGTATTTGTTGCAGATTCTAACTATTAAAAATCTTTAACTCTTCTTCTAATTATGTATGATTAATTTAATATTCTAACTCTGAATTTATAGATATTATGTGCACCAATGTCTTCTATTCCAATTTCATTTTATAAGTTCAATTCTTTCAAATAATCAATCGTTTTTATAAATCCACATGAATCCACTCTTAATCCACTTGATTATATTTTCTCAGAGAGTAATTATTAATTCATATGATTAATATTAATTCTTACAATACTAATAAAATAATATCAATTCATTTTTATGTTTACATTGATCTTTCCATAAAAACTATTTCTATTCTTTTAGCATTTTTGTACTAATTTAATCTACTAAATTAAACACTTCACTTGCTACTTACACTGAATAAAATTTTGTAATTCTTATTTATAATAGATTAGAATATAAATTCTGAACTAGAGTAATATTAGAAAACTTTATTTTCATTTACTGAAACTAATATTAATTATTATTATAATTAATAGGAACTTAAATTAGAAATACAAAAATGATATAATCTATACCGATTACTCTTGATTAGGTTTATGGTGTAAATTTTAAAAGAATACCAATATTTTTAGGAGAAATGGAAGGAACCAATCCATTACCAATTAATGAAACAGATGAAGATTTGTATTCAGAAAAAAATTCACGTGAATAATAAAAAAGATCATTACCACCATTATAAAAAGTGGATATAAGAGTATTGGCAGAAAAATAAAGGAGAAGATAAAATATTCATAAGTCTCCTATAGTTTCTTCTTAATTAGAATAACATATAGGGTTTAGAAATTCATTTTATAGGAATAATAAAATAAATTTGGCATCAAGATAGAGAGTAGAAGAAATTAAAAATAAAGAATTGGGTTTATATACAAAATATGCTCAAAGATTCAATGTACCTAAATCTTAAATATGGAATTGATTATAATGAATTTCTCTTTATTAGTTTAGAATTTATTAATAATAATATTAATAATATTAATCATAATCATGAAAATTTGAATAATTCTAATTGTGTTAATTTGAGTATCCTTCACAACGGTAATGAATTCAATATTTAAATTAAGATTCTTATTATATAAAATATAAATTATAAAAATGGATGAAGGAATCTATATTAAATAAGTGATTTTAAATGACGGAATAGAAATCTCTAATTAGTAACAAATAAAAAACTATTGTAATTAGAATAATGGAATCAAATGTAAATGAGGAATCTCTAGAACACTTATATAATTCCATGATTTTGTTTTAATCAATAAATGGATAGAGTGATTATATTTCAAACGATTCAAAAAAAATAAAACTCAACGATCTCAGGTATAATCATTAATTTTTTAAGAAACTTATTAGATTTTCTCTCTCAGAAGATAAAAAGATTCTAGAATTAGTTTAATAAGTTGGTCCGAATTTTAATAATATAGTAAAATATTTTCCAGGAAAGACTATGAATATGATAAAAAATAGATATTATAAAAAGTTAAGATACATTAAGGATGATTATTTGAATGAAAATGAAAAGGTTAGAGGTGTTCGAAAACAAAGAAAGATAAATTGAGAGAGCTATTCTAAATTTTGAAATATATGTAAATTATTTTTACATATATTTAAATTAATTGTTTAACAATAATAATTCTTAGTAAAGGAATATTGGAAAGATTAAAGAATGCAATTTGAAAAGGATCTTACTTATAATTAATTTACTTAAATATATTAATTAGTTATAAATTTAAGAATATGTATAATAATTAAAATAGAAATATTAATGAGCCAACCATAAGTAAATCCAGAAGTGGATAATTAATCTGTAATATCAGAAGAGAGTGACAATGACGATGTTGACGTATTTGGTTAGAATGAAGATATGTAATGAAAATTATGAATTCAGTGATAAGTTTCCTTTGTTAACGAGTATTTTAGATAATACTTGGTTTCAAGTAATAGTAAATTTGTTAACAATTTATGCACTTTTTGGAGATGACATAAGAATTATAGCTTTTGATAAAAGAGCTGATGATGGATTCGATGTAATTACTATAATATGTATGGTAAAATGATTCATAATAAATAGATAATTTTTTCAATTGAAATAATCATAGCAAGTTTAGTTAGAAATGACTATTTTAATTCATTCTTTTTTTGGCTTGATATAATATCAACAGTTTCTTAAATTTTGGATGTCACTTAGTTCAATATTGCAGTTGGTTTACAGTAACTAATTTATAGCATAAATATATTTTAGAGGTTCTGTAGCTGCAAAATCCGCTTCTTAATTGTCATAAGCAAATAAAGCCTCTAAAACAAGTTCAAAAGCAATTCGAGTTGTTCGACTAGTTAGATTGATTAGAATAGTTAAGTTGTATAAAGCTGCAAGTTATTAATAAGAATAAGCATTTAAAAGATAGCCATTACGAGTTTCAACAATGAAAAAAAGTAGAGCCACAATTTATCCATCCGTATATGATAACATTAATAATAATGGGCAAGCTGAATAAGAGAATCTAAATAAAAAAGAAAATGTTACGGAATAGAGGGGTAGTATTGAAAGTCATAAATTAGAAGGAGATGATAATGCAAATAGTTAAGAAAATCGTGAAAATTAAAACATGGTTGCGAAATAACAATAAATTGAGAATTTAGTTCCAAAGATTTAATAGAATCATAGATTATCTGTTAAGGATCCTTAACAAGTTAAAGTAAAGTAAATAAAAGAATCAAGAGTGAGCAAAAGATTATCAGATTCAACAACAAAAAAGGTTATAGTACTTGTTATACTATTACTATTAATAATGCCTTTATTTAGTTCTGATTACTATTTTGAGTCATCTTATAGTTTGGCTTATGCAGCAGAATATTTTAGAGTGGTTGCTGAAATTCCTGATACAAAATTAAGTGAGATTAATGAAACAATAAATTTTGTAATAGATTAACATAAGTAATTTGATACACCAGTTGGATATATTACAAATCCATTTACTGAAATAGAGAATTATGAGACACCTTCTTATTAATATTTAAGGGAGAGTTCTAAAAGCTATTATTTTGAATTAGTAGATCCAGTGTTAGTAGGATTAGAATACATAGGTGATCCTGTAATTCTTTTTGTTTCAGATAATTCAGATGTTGAATCAAAGAATTCAATAATTAATATAGTAAACACTTTATTTGTGAGTGCTGTATTATTATTTGGTGCAATAGCATTTTCAAATGATGCAAATAATGTTGCATTAAAACCAATAGATAGAATGATAGTGAAAGTAAATTTAATAGCTAAGAATCCTTAATTGGCAAAAGAGATGAAATTAGAATCTGAAGGAATATAAAAGGAAACTACATAGATAGAAAATGCAATAATTAAAATAGGTGCATTATTAGCATTAGGATTTGGTGATGCAGGTTCTGCTATAATAGGAACTAATATGGCATCATCAGGTGATGTAGATCCTATGTTACCAGGTAAACGTAAATGGGCAATTTATGGATTTTGTGATATTCGTAATTTCACAGATGCAACAGAAGTCTTATAAAAAGATGTTATGTTATTTGTAAATAATATTGCTGAAATTGTACATTCTATGGTGGATCGTTATAAAGGATCTGCAAATAAAAATATTGGAGATGCATTCTTACTTGTATGGAAAATTAATGATTCTTAATGGCATGAAGAGGGTAATGAAATTAAGTGGTAATATAACTAAATTTATTATTTTTAGGTCAAATATAGTTTAAATTAATTAATTAGCTGATTGTGCATTAATAGCATTTATGAAAATTTATGCTAAGATTAATAGAGAACCTAAAATATTAGATTATAGAAATGATGAAAGATTAAGTTAACGTTTGCCAGGATATAAAGTCAAAATGGGATTTGGATTACATATTGGATGGGGTATAGAAGGTGCAATAGGATCAGAATTTAAAATTGATGCTTCATATTTAAGTCCTAATGTTAATATGGCTTCTAGATTAGAAGCTGCTACTAAATAATATGGAGTAGCAGTATTAATCTCTAGCGAATTACATTAATATTTCTCAAATGACATTAAGAAGTATACCCGATAAATTGATAAAGTTACTGTTAAAGGAAGTGTTAAACCTGTTGGATTATACACTGTAGAAATGGATGCTGATGATCTACCTCCTAGTAAAGAAGATTATCCATAAGAAGATAAATAATAAGTTATGTATGAAAAAAAACAAATCTTTCTTTAATAAATAGAAAATGGTGATTTTAATGGTGAAATGCATATTAAAAGAAATAAAGATCTTGCACTTATCACAAAGAATTTCAATCAAGAATTTTTAGTAAAATAATATAATCTATATATTATTTTAGCATTAATTTGGTTAAGGATTCTAAGGTTATCTTTTGGGAAATTGGAAAGAAGCTCATATGTGGTTAGAAAAAGCTAAATTAATTAGACCAAATGATGGCCCTATCAGTACTCTATTTAATGTTATGAGCGAAACTAATTTTAAAGCTCCAGCTGATTGGAAAGGATATAGAGAATTGACAGAAAAATGATTTATAAAGTTATATTTCTTTTGTTTTAAAATAATCATTTATTCCAATTTATAATTAACTCATTTATCTCTTCAAAGTATAACATCAAATATTGAATTAAGATTTAGTTTTTCTTAAAATATTTCTAAAATTACTGTTTTATTATTATTTACTCAAATTAATTAACTATGGATTTTCTAGAATAAAATAATATTCAAAAAAATCATTTAGTAATATATTAGATATTTTTGAATAATATCATATCCTTTTTACATAGATTAGAAACATCAAAGGATTGCGATTGAGCTTATTTTTTCTTAAAAAATGAATTTATTGTAGAATTTGCTTAATTTATTATATTATTGGTTATTTATTTTATAATTGCAATTCTTATAGTTTATTTGTTTTTCTCAATCATCAAAGAAACATTGCATATTTTTTTCCAGATTAATCAGAATTTGGAATTCTAAGATTCGTAATAAATGACAATTTAGGAAGATAATTATTAGCAAATCTTTATAAATTAAACCCCATCAAGATTATTACATTTAATTGTTATTATT